TGAAATGTCCAAACCAATTTAAATTGATAAATGTCATTTTTTTTAAATTGTGTATACCATATATGTACTATAGTCCGTGTTTCGGTAACGTGTTCCACAAATGTTCAAAAAAGGTTCCTGTAAAACGCCTTTGTATGAGTTGTTTTGCGTGTGTGAAATAATGCGCTTACATATTATTCTGGGAGGTAGCATATAACGACCGAACAAAAATACACCCTTCTACGTACGCTTCTGTAGTGTACGTGCAAGATGGCAAAGCGCTCTCTTGTGCATCAGTTTCATGCTCTTCTGTATGTTTACAAACAAATTACACAATGTATCACAATACCTACTTTGATGATTTTTAATGTCAACTTGACATTTAATCTGTTTGGAACCAAGAACCGTGTTTAAGTATGAGTTAATTATTACCGCCCTTCTGCTATAAAACAGACGATTAGCTTGCAGTCGGTCGGCAGTACGTCATACTGTCACGTACTGATAAACAAAAGACTCATCACCTGGCAACAGATAGAGGCATTCATTCCAAACAAGCAGCTATGATTGGTGGCGGTTCTAAGGTTCTAAAGGGGTGGGGAGGGCTCAAAACCCTCCTCCGATCTCCCAAACAAAATAATGATAATACAAAAATTGATCAGTAATATGCGAGGCACATGAACAAAATGAATGTAAGAACCTCCTCTGACATCATCTGTCAGTCATCAATCAGGTCACTTGAGAAAGTGGCATGTAACTTTAATTGCCAAAGTTGACCATCTGTTACAATATACCACAAACAATAGTAACATATAAGTTGCAGACACGTCTGACTAAGTAGACAATTGTAATTTCCCCCAGCTTAAGCACACGTTCATAATAGAATTGCATGCTTCCATACACATGTACAATACATCATCATTGCCTTTGTCTTCCTGGTGATGCTACAGCATGTCTGACATAGCAACTTGTATGTTGCTTTTATATTACGTATTTTAATAGGTGGTCGACTTCGGCAAAGATATACCACTTTCTCAAGTTAGCTCATTGATGACTGACAGATGATGTCACAAGGGGAATAATGAGATCTGGAGGTTTTGGGGGTGGAGCTTAGCAAGTTTGAAAAACAAATATTTTAAAAAAACATTTAAAAATCTATGAAACAAATTCAGAAGTTTACATATAGAAATATGAGATGTATGCAGGACTGCGTACCAACAGGAATACAATTGTATTTCGATGTCATGGGCCCTTTAAACTATACGTTGTGTGTACATGAAAGTTAATGACAAATTTTGATTTATTAATTATGTAATTACATTTCTAAATAATTATGTCAATGTAAATATTCACAAATTTGACACAGGGGCCCCGTTTCATAAAACTTGTTATATATAACAAGTGCTAAATTTCTATGACAAATGTGCTCTAAGCCAATCATATGCCATGATTTCAGTAGATTATAATAGTAGCTTGTAACTTGTTATTGATATCAAGTTTTATAAAACTGTTTCGTAACAGAGATATGACTATTGGAAGCTTTTTTAAAGAAAAGTTTCATTTTTTCACGTTTTTTTTTTTAATCCCTATGTCGAAGGATTGCTAGTCATATAGCCTAGCGCAAAAAATCGTCGGGCCGAAGGAGATAAATCTTGATATTTCGGCTTCACAAACTTCAATTATCCCCAATACTAAATTAGGGTTAATTTTTGAGGGTAATGTTTAATTCATTTTTTTAAAAATGGGTGATTTGACAAAGTCAAAGAGTGACCTCCCGAAAGATACACCAACATTTTGTCCCCACACAATTTATTCCTCATTTCTTTGTTATAAATTTGTTTGTAACGTTTAGCGTTTATCAATATTTTGTCAGTTAGTAACACTATTGATTATGCGAATATCATGCGGTTCCAATATCTATAGTCTGTGTACCAGACTATTTCGATATATGACGACACACGCGTACAACGTTTCATTCTCATGACTATATTTATATGCCAAACTAGTACGAATGTACAAACAATATCAAATGAAATTACACCTCAATAAAAAAAAAATATAAAAAAATCATCAATGCGATATCTTCAAATTGCCCTTACAAATTGGGGTTGTCAGAAAAAACATCCAAAGAATTATCGACTAGTTTTTTGAGATGAAACCTCCAAGATGAGGTTTAAAGATAAAATTGAGTTCTGGTCGTGCGATTGCTTTATAAAAGAAACGTTGTGGAATCGATTAGGAAAGGTTGATCATCAAGCATATAAGTATTGGTGTGTACTGCAAGGTTCTAGAATCATCAAAATGATAAGAAATTTGGCCCAGTCTTGGTAAAGTTACAAGCTCTTTACACAGATGTATATGGGGCTGCACGAACATGTAGCATACAAATTCATCGATCTGTCCCGATTTTTATGATGTTGCATGCCATATTTAGAATATAAAAAACATTTGAAGAGCCATTTTTTTTAGGGAACATCGATTTTCTTTCTTCTCCAGATTTACTTTTCTTGAGAATGGGACATTTTCAGGCTTATAAATAAAAGTATTCAACAAAGGCCTTAATTCAACTAGTCCCCATTTCTTCCCCGAGTTACGAAAACACAAAAAATTATCAAATTTACAAGGGGTATGGATAATTTAGTTGTTATAATTTTATATTCACTTTACTGGTTTCTCTTTTATTCCATTCCTTTCCTCTACTTTGCTCTCTCTCTCTCTCTCTCTCCCTCCCTCCCTCCCTCTCTCTCTCTCTCTCTCCCTCCCTTTCTCCTTCTCTCTCTCTCTCCCTCCCTTTCTCCTTCTCTTTCTCTCTCTCTCCCTCCCTCTCTCTCTCTCCCTCCCTTTCTCCTTCTCTCTCTCTCTCTCTCTCCCTCCCTTTCTCCTTCTCTCTCTCTCTCTCCCTCCCTCTCTCCTTCTCTCTCTCTCTCTCATCTCTTTACTATTCACTCTGTAAGCCAAAGACTAAATCACAACACACAAAAAAACAGCCAAGACAATATGGTAATTCCGAAGGGGATGGCACTATTTAATTATTAGCTTTCTCCATGTTGTACTACATTGTAATTCCCGGGACAGATTTTCAATTAAAAGATTATAATGTTAAATGAATCCCTATTAATCTATAGCTTTCGTTGACTTTGAAAGTCACCCTGAATGTACATACTTCACAGAAATATAATTTACTTTCTTTATTGATTGAGACATATCATTATCGCCCCTATATTAACCGCTGAATGCTATTATTGCAGCATGGATTACTGTCATGCGAAAGTTTGCCTACATGAAATAGTTGGGTTTTGGGCTCATATACTGTCAACTATTATCCAAATTATGCTGAATAGTGAATAATAACTTTCAATGTGAAATGAATTAATCGACTGTGCAGTCACTTTAGTTACACGTTCACATACTAGATAAATCCTTTTGGGCAAACATTTCATCAACTGCGGTTAATGATTATGGTCAAATCTTTCATCAAATTTGCTTTGAATTGTGAGCAATGACTTTCCATTTAGAATAAATCTATTAACTATTTTTTTAGAGTGATTAATATAATTATCATTTATGAATTAAACAGTAACATACTCGGGAATTTTTAAAAGAGGACATGCCATTTTAATATACAGCTATAAGCATAATATAGTTCCTTCTAAAGACCAACACACTATAAAATTTAAGGAGCACAAACTACGATAAAGTGTGACAAATTCCTACAGATGAATACACAATATTATTATCCTGATGACTTTAAAGGATATTAGAATAAATATGCTTTAATATTTGCTTTTAAAGTATAAGCATAATATAGTTCCTTCTAAAGACCAACACACTATGAAATTTAAGGAGCACAAACTACAATAAAGTGTGACAAATTCCTACAGATGAATACACAATATTATTATCCTGATGACTTTAAAGGATATTAGAATAAATATGCTTTAATATTTGTTTTTAAAGACCCAGTATATACCGACCAGAATAGAAACCCTACAGGGCAAGATTAAAATTTGAAGAAAAAACGATTATGTTGATGATAAGATGACGCGTTTTCTTTATCATCAGGATTAATATCTACAGGAGCTATAAAGTAGCAAGTATTGATCTATAGAGTACGAAACATTCACATACCAGAGATGAACTAAATGAATTTCTATTTGTTTTCATCACTTTACCTATATTTTTGCGTTGTACTTAAACTGATCAACTCTTTATGCTTGTAATACACGGCTATTAAACACAGGCATGAAGCTTTTCGTGGACTAGCTCTAATTCGGGTTAAAATATTCATGTTTTTGTCTTTCATGATTATGTCAACTGAAGATAATATATACTACTACGTGTACTGAAGTCAGGACTAAATAAATGAAAAGGAAAGAAATAAAGGATTTTGTTGTTTCTTTGCTTAACTACGTTCAGAAAGACATTAAAACTACATCTTGGTTTGGATCAGTCAGCCTCTATATATTATTCCTGTTTCAGACTTTCCTACTTTGGCAGTTGTTTCTCTCATAACCTTATCTATTAATCCGGTTCATATGCCACCAAATGAAATGAATGAATGAATGAATAAATACACAAATAATTAAATATATAAACTTAAGGCCAAGTAAGAATTATACCTAGTTTCTTGTCAGGATTTTTTTTTAATAGTGAAAATGAGGAACAGGGAACTCAATGTTATTTGACTGATATTTGTCAGCACATAGAAATACTAGTAGGTCTATTTCAACACAAATCTTGTTAATTCTAATTTCGTTTATACATGCATTTTAGACGCTACAAACTGGGTGCATTTTCAGTTTTGTTAACCCCTTTGTCTAAATATCCTCAGATAGTTATTCATTTAATTTTAGAACAAAACAAATTACATGAAAAATTTAAGCGGTACCCACCCCCCCCAAACCAAAAAAGGGAGGGAGAGGACAAGAAACAAAATTACTTTTATTTGGCCCAATTAAGTGGTGATATAACGATGACATCATTGGAATTAAACTATTCCTAGGCAAGAGTCCTTCCGTCATCTAGGAGGGCGATCGTCTCTTTAAGAACCGGTACTGGCTCTACACCTACCGGTACTGGCTCTACATCTACCGGTACTGGCTCTACTGTTTGAAAAGAAGGAAAAAAGGGGAGAAAAGAAAAATTAGTGTATTTGTTTATTTGTAGTGAAACAAAGGGTAGTATTTTCAATGAGTAAACTGCTTTCCCTAATTGCCCTGTTTGCCTACATTATTAAGTATACATATAAATATGATTAAATGTTGAAATTATAGAAAAATCAATTACGAAGTATAAACCTTGAGGCCGACATTTCTAGCATATGTGAAGGAGTGGTAAGGGGGCAACTTGCACCCCAAGATTTCAGACGAAGAAGAAAAAAACATGTCTCTTTTTATATAATAGTTTATTGTTATCAGCAGGGTGGGAAATTATTAAGGTAAATAATTATAAGATTGCCCCTTTCTTCCATAAATAAATCATATTTGGGGGCGCGCTACCCTCACTGTAAAGCAACCAGTTCCTAGAAAAGTAGACTTCCTAGTCGATTGGATCACATTAAGCTGAGATATTAAAGCTGCATATGCCACTGTGTGATATCATCTGATAAAATCAATGTTGAATCTTGGATCAGCGGCACAGACAAATAGGCCAGACTATTATTTTTCAAAAGACAATCATTTTCTCAAGAAGAAGAAAATGATGAAGAGGAAAAAAAAACACTCTCTAGAAAACTCTTCGCTTAGCTCAACGGGAGGTGGGGGCAGACAGGAGTAGTTTTACTCCCATCTTTTAAATTTCATCTATTAATCTATTTATTTGATTGTTGATTATTCATTTACTTATACCTATTCACTCTTTTATTTATTAATCAATTTATTAATTAATTTATCTATATACTTGTTTGTTCATTCATTCATTCATTCATTTGTTATCATGTTTCTTCAAAGGGGCTGCTAGCCCCCCCCCCCCCCCCAAACAATCCTTGATTAGTCTATGAATCAAATATTTTGAAGCTTGGGTGAGGTGTGTTTATATAACAAAAACAACATTGAACACATGTGCAACCATAGTGACTAGACATACAACCCAGTGGCTTATATACTTCTAGATTTCATTTTAACTTTCCCACACAATGACAGGGGCAGATCCAGGAATTTTGTAAAATGGGAGGGCACAATAAACACACTTATCTGACAAAAAGAGCAAAACAACAAACAAAACAAAACAAACTAAAAAGGAAGAAATGTTCTTTCATTTTTTTTGTCGGGTGTAACTAAGGAATACAACCTGGGTTTCAAAATGAATTACTGAGTGGTTGTCCCCTACCCACTCCCCCAAATCCAACAGTACATGACATAGACCGACTACGGTTATACGAAGTACATAAACAAAAGTGCAAAAAGGCAAACATTATTACAACTAGACATGAAATTCGTCACAGAGACGAATTAGGTGATCTGCCGCTTTGATCGAGATATTAACACATGTAGAAACAAATCTCCACTCATATATAACACGTCCATGTAAAAGCTAATGTATTAATCAAGGACGTAGAAACAGTAGTAATGATTGTGCTGGCTATTGTTCGGTACAACACTGTTACCATTTAACTAATGACAGCTAGGAGATCGACGAACAAATATAAAAATAACACTGTTCATTAAGTTAAAGCTCTGATTGTTTATTGTTTATTATACAAATTGTACATAGCAGCTAGAAAAATGATGTCGATGGTCGAGAATCGCGAGGAGAAAATGTGCAGATGTGAATTGTAAGATAGATATAGTATTGATGGAGACTATAGTAAGAAGAGGCATTCACCGAATCTGACCACGAGACTAAAAGGCTTGACTGCATGTTTAGATTTACGTCCTGCCAAGTACATGTATCATGTTTTGACGGCGGCTTGGGTTGGTCGGTGATAAGGAGATACGAGTAAAAGGAGCATTAATTTTAACCAGAAGACTTATGGTCAAGTCGGTGAAAGCAAAGCAAAGAGGAAGAAAGTTGTGTGGTCGTGAGATCGCAAGATCAAGAGATAGAGAGGAAGAGAACGTTGAAACACTAATATTAGGAGATTTGCTACACTATGGGGCAGCTAGATCACCTAATAACAAAGAGTCAATGAGAAATTCAGACTTTCAACAAAATTCCAGCCTCCATTCACATAGCATGTACAAGTAAAATCCATGATGGCCGAATTTGCTGTCTTCACCCTAAATCAGAATTTTGTCCACGAATCATGAACATTTGTAAAGTAAAGCTTTAGCTACAACATAAAAAAATATGGAAGACATCAGAATTAAAAAAAAAAGTTTATCTGCCGTCTAGCATCGCGAGCACCGATTGATATCGTCAGAATCTATCTTTCTTCCCCCTTACTTTCTGTATGGATTTTATTCGCTTTATATCTCATGAAAGACATGGTTCATGACAATGAAATGTTCATGACATGCGCCATATTGATCCTAACACGGTGGATCATCTAATTACAAGTTGAGAGAAAAAGCGTTACCTTAGCATGTGTAAGTAACCTCAAGATACTTAAATGTTCCTCGGCATGGATCACCGGCAAGGCTATTCTTTGCTATAATTCCGCATTGGCTTCGGCCGTTACAATCTGGACCGAGAACATCCAATAGGTCTACTCCACAAGCCGTGTCTGATACTTGGTCGTGAGGACAGGTTGTGCTGTCAGTTCGTCCGTAGACAGCGGTAGAAATGCTGATACTGCCATCTCCGCAATCGATTGTAGCCGACTTGTGCTCACAGATAATTATCTTTTTCTCTGAAGAAGAAAAGAGAAGACCACTGGCTTAAAGTTTCCTGAGCAGTATGTAAATCCTCGTCCTCAGTTAATAATAATAATAATAATAATAATTACATTTATAGGGCGCTTTATACAGATGTTTCTAAGCGCACAGGTGGTACTGTCTAACTTGTAATTATTTAACATGTTCAATACCCTAAAAGCAACAAAATAAAATAAAATATTACTAATACAATACAATCAAGTTGAATGGAATTAACTACTTGTGTGCGCCTCCAGTAAACTATAACTGTTTAAAAAGGTGGGTTTTGAGAAGGGTTTTGAGAAGGGTTTTGAATGATTCAATGGATGGGGCATTTTCAATATGAGGTGGTAGTTTGTTCCAGAAGGCGGGGCAATCGATGAAAAGGCATGGTCACCATAACGGGTTTTTGTTCATGGGCCGGAGGAGAGCTGCAATAGTCCATAATGGGAGGAGATGAAGGCATGGACAAGTCTTTCAGTGGAGATTTTGTCAAGCAGTCGCCTGATGATCTTTCTAATTTTGTAGATGCCCCAAGATGCGGATTTGCAGACGTTTTTGATGTGCTTTTGAAGAGTAAGGTGTTTGTCCAATGTAATGCCGAGGTCTCTAACATATTCGGAGGTCTTTAGTACATCCTCATCGGTTGTCAGAACTGGTAGAGGCACTGTGCTCCTGAGCTGTGAGGAAAAATGGATCAGTTCCGACTTGTTTTCATTAAGACGGAGTCTGTTATTGGCTGACCAGTCCTTGATGTCTAAAAGACAATCTTTTAGGGAATTAACAGCATCGACTTTGCCACGAGGTGACATAGTTAAATAAATGTGAGTGTCACACCCTGATGACGAGTAATGGTTCTTGCGAGAGGACCAGTGTACAGAAGGAACAGCAGAGTGCCGACGACGGAGCCTTAAGGAACTCTGCAGCTGAAAGTGAGTGGAGCTGAGCAGGTCCCATTGATTATTACTCTCTGTGCACGGTCTTGTAGATATGACTCGATCCATTGGAGGGCAGTCCCTGAGATGGAGTAGTCATTTGCCAGACAATGTAGCAGCACGATGTGGTCGAGCGTGTCAAACGCTGCGGAATAGTCCAGAAGAAGTAGAACGGCCTCATCACCCTTGTCAACAGCAATTAGGAGTAGATCGTTGAGCACTTTCAAAAACGCAGTTTCTGTTGAGTGGAGGTTGCGGTATGTGGACTGGTTTACAGGGAGCAGATGGTGACTATCCACGTGATTCATGAGTTGGTTAGCTACGATTCTTTCCAAGACCTTGCTCACAAATGGCAAATTGTTGTTAGATGTTTGTGTTCACATTCAGACCCTTTGGAAATACGAAGGCGAGTGACGAATAATGTGGGATATCATAACCATTATTATTGGTCACAATATGCATACACTATAGCTATATGTTAATATATATATATATATATATATATATATGTATAACTGATCTGCTGCTTCGGTCTAGACATAACACATGTAGAAACTCAATGGGAGATTTTTTCTTTTACAAAGAAATCCTACATTCCATTTATATTACAAATATTTGAAAAAAAATCAGTCCCCCTGATGTGTGCACGGACAAAGGTGTGACCAAAAGTTTACCCATGACATCAAGTTCATGTATACCAAATCTCATTCATAAATGATATCCATGCATGGAAATATAACACATACTCGATGCGATATATCACGTACAAGTGAAAACCATAATGGTAGATTTTGCAGTCTTTACCTTTAATCGGAATTTAGAACACGTTCACCTAATTGAATCAAATTCAATTGTTTTCCTTTAAGTGACAATATTTTGACGCCAAAGCTTTAGCTCTCTGCATGGTGTTCTTTTTCTGAAATATATCACTAAGAACATCATCTTGAAAACCTTCCTTACTTCCGTGCTTTATTTACAAGTGCAATATCACTCTTCAAGGATCTCATAATTACTTGGCTACTAATAGCTTAATCGTCTAGTGTCTATTACATTTTAGATATCATTCAATCTATCATAGCTTCTAATGATATAACACATCTCTAATAGCGTCTTCATTAAGAAATCATATAGACATGATACAAGAATGTTAGCATAACCATCCCTATACTATTGCTTTATGAGCTTCCTATACTTTATGCTCTGAGACTGAGGATCATTTGTGCACATGTAGACCCTGTAGGATGTCATTCTACTCTCAGCCTTCACTCATCCATAAATTAACAAGTCATTTCTTCACATTAATACTGAATAAACTAAAAACACTTCCTTAAATATTCCAATAGCCATCTGTATCAATTTGATCCAATACTACTTCCCTTTTCAGCAAGATTATTGAGCTTGAAAATATACATAATAATAATATCTAAGATTTACATCTTTGAAACTTATATTCTAAATTCCTCATCAAAATTAAATCGGAATACATTTGTAGAGTTAGGTCTCAGCTACCTAATACAATATGGGAGACATCAGAGTAGGGATGAACAAGGTATATTCCAAACAACAATGGCAAATACTACCTAATCGATTCAAATTGAATTGTTTTCCTTTAAGTGGCACATACTATATTTACGTCAAAGCATTCTAACAGCAAACGTGATACATGAAATTCCATCTCCAATTCATACGCCATCAGAACATGAAAGAAAAATTGGGGGTCGATCACCAGCCATTTTGAAGAGTTATAGCGGTTTTAAAACCACTCTTGGCAATTTTTCTGCATTTGCGTGCGTGCGTCCATTTTGAGGTTTAACTAACGTTTATGTGCTAAATTCAGGTCAACAATGGCTAAAATTGATTTCATGTTGCTAAGAATAGTATCAGAAATACAAGAGCAGTTTTAAAAAATTGAATTAATACACATAGTACGGACGGCACACGCAAAAACGCCAAAGCTAGCATGCGTCCGCATCCTTAATTTTTTAAATGTTCAAAAGTGTCTGAAACGTCACTGTAGTAAATTAGTTATACATGCATGTATAAGCATTTTGACGAACTTGTACGCGTATGCCAATATGCGTGCATGGACATGGGTGTGACCTAAAGTTAACCCATGACGTCAGGTTATGCATGTCAAATATCAATCAGAAATGACAATGTATGGCGGAAATAAGTTCAATAATAGAAAATAACAGAGATGACGTTACGCATCTGTAATACAAAAAATCTCTTCGTTATAGGATCAATAATAATGCATATGGCACATGTCATGAAAATTTCATAATAATTAATCATGGTATTCATGAGATATGAAGCAAAAAAAATCCATAGAAAAAAAAGGGGGAGGAAGATTCTGACGTAATCAAGGTACTCTATAGCTGCCAAACTAGGCAGCAGATCACCTAAAAAGATAGATTCTGACGAAATCAATATGGTGCTCTGCTAAGCTAGGCGGCACAGCACTAATTATCAAGGGCAAGAACCATGCACAGTACGTGACAACACACATGATTAAGGCATTGCAATGATTAGGGCTTAATTATCTCGATGCACACAGGGCTTCTTCTATGAGAACATGTATGCTCTCATAGAACAAAAGGTTTCACACAGAGCTATTGAAATTGCCTCAAGTTGATTTTTGAAAGCTCTTATGCGATCGTGTTTATAGCAAAATCTCCTCTGCACTACATGAATGCCCAAAGCAAAAAATTGCGCCCTCACCCATACATGCATTAGTTGGATCTACCCGTGTCACATCCACAGGGTTCGACCAGAACAGGATCCGGATGAAGCAGACCAGGCCTTGGACCCGGACCCGAGGAAAAAGTGGAACCAGATCCAGATCCAGATCCAGGACTGGATTCTGACTCGTAATAGAGGTCGACTGACAGGAAATATCGAGACCGGCTACTCCGCAGTTTTCTTTATATTTTATTTATTCGTGTATTTATACATTAATTCATTCATTTATTCATCTAATTATCTATGTATTTTTACTTTCGGTTTACTCATTTTTGTATTCACATCTTTTTTTCTTTTTTTTTTTCGCCTCTTGTTGGCCTGTTGGGCTCAGAGCCTGTTTTGAGGCCGGTAAAATTCACAAAGATCTTTCCACACTTTTGCCGTTTGCAATGGCTTTGGAGGTTCCCCCCCCCCCCCCCCCCCATCCCATCCCTTGTCATGACCCATTTAACTTTCAAATGACGGTCATTGTATTTATATTTTTATCCTGATATGCTACATTTCAGGTTTTTTAAAATGCAAGAATATTGGGCTAAATTTCTACAGTCAAGAGAAGCTCCAAGGGCCTACGTAATAATGAGGCGCTTGCGGGTCGGCTTATATGCAGCTAATTTTCTACAGTCAAGAGAAGCTCCAAGGGCCTACGTAATAATGAGGCGCTTGCGGGTCGGCTTAATATGCAACTGCTTTCTACAAACACAAAAATAAAAATGACTTGTTGCTCGTCTATATCTTTAATAAACTGAGATTTTGCCTAAAAAAATATAATCTTACTACGCTAATAATGTCACCTTAGAGCTATATTGAAAGGGTGTTTGATATGGGTCAGTGACAACATCCCTGGGGCGCTTGCGGGTCGAGTAATATTGGTTGGTTGGTTATTTTACCTGACTGCTAAGAAAGCATAAATGCTTGTAAGTAAGCAACCAGACGGCTGACGGCTTTAGGTCCTTTCCGACGGACCTGGTAATGAGGATTAATGCCTTACCAAAGGGCACTAGCGCATCGCCTTGGTTTTGAAACCCGGGTCACCGGATCACGATCGAGACCACTGCTCTACCAACTGAGCTATCGCGCCTCCTGCAACTGCTTTTCATGAACACACAAAAAAAAGACTTGTTGCTTGTCTATATCTTTAATAACCTGAGATTTTGCCTAAAAAATATAATCTTACTACGCTTATAATTTCACCTAAGACCTATATTGAAAGGGTACTTTTCGATATGGGCCAGTGACAACATCCCTGAGGCTCATGTAAGGTAATATGTGGGACAAATGGTTGGCCCAAAATTAAAATTTTCTTTTAACACTTTAAGGATAGATTTCGTTCATAATACGGCTAGGATACGGTGGACATAGTCCCCCAAAATTGAGAGTTACCTGCAGCGGCAGGAGAGAATCTGCAGTGGTATTAGGGTCACCCTAGGGCGTATCCCTATCTTTACAGGCCGTACGGGTCACTGTGGGATTATAGTGCGGAGTTATACAATTTTTCATTTCTAAGTTCGCCATAGCCATGCCGTAGAGCGGTTGCATGGCAAGGTCAGGGGTACGGTGACCTTGCGTCTGCCTTGGTATTTTCAAAACCCTACGGCCGCTGCAGGAGTTCCCTAAGTTGACCGTGCATCATCACTTCAAAGGCTGTATGGCAGCTCCAGGTTTTCTGTCTCTACAAATTAAAAATATGCTATGCGGCTACTCTAACATATGTGACTGCTACCGTATGTGAGCGTGGGAATACTGTGGCAGCCGTATAATTGCAATTGGCTGTAGATATTTTAGATCCCTCGGCCGCGGTGGCAAATGTGACCTAGGCGTAAGCTGTCTATGGCCTACGTTATGTTCATTAAGTACAGTCAGCGTATCTGTTTGGTAATTTCTTTTTTTTTTAATCAAGAAAGCATAGACCAATAACTAATTGGCCAAATTAGGACCACATACCTATTGATGCGAGGTTCTTCATTACTCGCTTATTAATAAAACCCTACTGATTAATTAAGCCATCCAAAGCCTCATTCAGACATGTCGCGGTAAACTGAGAAACAAAAGCTGCGTTAGTTATATTATTTTAAGAGAATGTCATTTAGGTGGGGGGGGGGGGGGGGGGGGTGAGCAGAGTACTCGGGTACTACAGAGGCAAAATCATTTATACCAGTATTTCATACACTACGGAAACGAGAAGTGTGCAACGCCAAAGTCATTTATTTCCCCACGACGGTTTACGCTTTATGTGTGACCGAGGCTTTATTGCCATATTAAACCTAGTTCACATACGACGCGGTAAACCGCAGCGTTTTTACATTTTAGTATAATACGCTTCGCATTTTCTGTGTCTTATAACACAGAGCTCAGTATATATGTGTAGGACCTTTGTTGCGGGCAGTTGTCTTTCATTTACAAGTTATTATAGTAATCTACCGTGGCTTACCGATTCATTTCTGAACGAGGCTTTACAAACACGATCTCAACTACATTTGAAAAATCAACCCAAGTGCATTTTAAATACCTATTGTATGTCCAATGCATAGATAACATGTTCGGACAGACAAGGCTATTGAAATGGCCTTTGATGATTTTTCGAAAGCAGTTGCTATAGTGTCTACAGTGGACTTAATTTTTAGTGAGTTTTAGCGAAACCGCCTGCTTTGGCGGCGAAAGCTCCGAGCTCGGCGAGCCCAGTCTCTGGCTCGGTCACGCCAGTCTCGATCATACCCTTCAGAAGAGTCAGAGTCAGAGTCAGAGTCAGAGTCCCAGTCGGGTCGCAACAAATCTTCAAAACTGAAACTGGATTTGGATCCACTGGATCTCGGGTCTGATGAATCGGATTCGTCGGAGGAACCGGAAGAGCGGTCAGATAAATCAGATTCATCAGATGCATCAGAGGATCCGGAAGATCGGTCCAATAAATTGGGTTCATCGGAGGCTGCAGAACCGGCAGACACTGATTCTAGTGACCCACCTTCACCGCCTTCCTTCCAGGGGTTGAGGTTCAATTTGGGAATCTCAGATTCGTCAGAGCATGGAACACGGTGGTTGGAAAAGTTGGGCAACGTCAGGGTTTTAAACTCAGGGTAGGGATTCTCCATGCTGAACTGTGCCCATGGTATATCATTCCTGAAAGTTTGATAAAGAAAATCAACATGCTTGAATATTCATTAGGTAATGATTATCAAATGGAGTCCTTCTTATTTTTTATTCATCATCTTCTTCCTCTCCTCCTCCTCTCTTCCCCTCCCCTCCTTCTTTTCCCGAAGACTAGCTCCCGGCTAATAAAAGGAAACATTGGAACACATATGTGCAGGGTCATTTGATAGCTAAGCCTAGCAAAGTTCATGAATACATAATGTGTGAAAATACCATTCCCTGATTCATTGTAGGAGGCGTAAGTTACACAATGAAGGGCAAACAGTGACTTATTCAGTGGATACACTAGCTGTTTGCACAGAAGCGACTGACTGCTTCCTTTGGGGACCAATGATAATCTATGCTTTTCCCTGATGTGAGTGACATTTCTCCATTTCCCTGGCTGTACTCTGACAGGACAAAAGGGAACCCTTTTTCCAGGTTTTTCTCGTATTTCCAGGATAGCTGGAACCCTACATGATGACATAGCAAGGACAAGAAAGAAGTTTTCAAAAGTAATAATCCCCCCACGTGCAAAGCTCACTTATCATTTTTAACCTTGTTACCCTTACTGATTATAAAACTATATTTTCATTGAAAAGCGGGGACATCATTTTCTGTTAAGGCCACCCCCCCCCTCAAAAGTGGGTGAGGGCGTTGTCTCCTCCCCCACCCCTCAGGATTTATGCCAGTGGATATAGAGACTTACTTGAACTTCTTAGTGTCACATGTCGGGGTGTACAGGGGATATGGCTGGATGGAGAGATTCTCGCTACCGTCCAGGGTGTCGCAGAGAACACGTGACAGTGACGTGCCTTTGATAGCGTCCAACTGACCTGTCATTGGAAGGAAAAACAGAGTGATATTAGGCAATGGATGTAATTTGTGTATAAATGAATGATTGGATCAACATGGATTAACGGGGTGTTGTGGCGTGCACCTGTAATCCAGCTAACACAAACTGATTCAGCCAAGGACGCAGGCTCAAAACTGAGTCACGTCTTTTGGATGGTGACGTTAAACGTGCATGGGTCCCCAGACGTAAATTATCATATCTGATTGATACATGTCTGTAAAAATCCAATTACACACACACACACACACACACACACATGTGCATGCTCGATCGTAACTACGTCTGGCTGGATCATCATTAAATCCACTGGCCGGGCAGGGTAACGACTGTAGGGCTCTTAGGTTGGTTAACTGATAAAGCACCTCAGTGAAAGTTATTATAGTGAGTGTGAAAAGGAGATGTGATTTTGTCTAGCGGCACGTTCATAGTCATCTCCGTCTGTGTTCATGTACAAACTGGCTCAGGCAACCCCGGTTCGAAACTGAGTTACGTCTTTCGGATGGTGAGGTTAAAGATCGGTCCCCGTACGTAAATAATCATTTCTAATTGATACACGTCTGTAAAAACTTAATTACACATAGGTCCCATTGCACACCGCATCAGCGACTACCGTGACTTTTTGAAGCGCCATGCAAGAGTAATATCGTACAAAAAGTGAATGAAAAAATGGACAGTGTAAGCACCTTCTCGAATTACTGGCATATGGGTTAAATGCCTTCACACACTTGATTAGCAGGTAATAGCGCTATCGAAATGACGCAACAGGCATAATACCCTATGCACACGATGTGTCACGCTAATCAAGATAATGATGAGAATAGGTAGGTCTGTTCTTACTTCAACGGAACGTTCGCATTGCTAAGTTTGCTGTATCACTATATTGTATCCTTGCCTAACATATCATTATAACAATTCATGTACTTTTCAAAAGGGTTATCTATTACTTTAAATGTAACTGTAGCATTCAATCACTCAGATATATTGACACTTTCACGCAGCAATTCCGCCACCCAGCAATGTAAACATAATTAATATTATTGGCAACTGAATCGCTACATTGAAAACACACAATGTAAACAGTTGAAAATTATCAGAATATGTTTCTGTCTTACGATAAGCAGCATTGTAAGTACTCAAAATGAAAACAATGGGAAATACCAAGATTCATTAGAGTAGGGTTGGGAAAATGATCCCCAAAAGTTTCCCTTCGTCAAGTTTAATGCTGCATTAGAGAATGTACCTATAATGAACAGTTTTGGGCAAAGTTAGTGATATCCAATGATACAAAAAAAGAACCCTTCATTACAGTCAGGTACGACTTATAGCTATTTATTGCCACACATGATATGCTGAAATACTTAGGTGAAAGGGAATGGAAACTGATTACGAACCACTGCCCAACTGTATTAATATAAGTTTATTTTAGCTGAATTGTGTATCATGATAAAAAAATAATCAAATACTTATTTCCCTTATCAATCTATATTAATTGCTCTTGTTTTGAATTATTATGTTTAGTGATATTTTTTTTATTTTTTTTATCTAAAAAAAAAAAAAAATTGATTGTATTATGTAATACAAGGCTCTCTTTCAAAGCATTTTTATGTAATAAAGAGACCGTACCGTATAAAGAACACATGATTATTGAGTAAATAATTTCATGAAAGAATAAATAACAAAATAACGAAATAACAAAATAAAATAAATTGCACAATGTTTCTCTTACTGTCTGTGAAACCCTCCGGTGCATTCCGTTCGTACCAGAAACGATCCCCAAGACGAAGTCGCTTGAACTGGTCGCCGAGCAGACAACCGAGGGTATGGCCAATTCGACCTCCAGGCATGTGCTTCTCGTTCGTGAAGCCGATGAACGCGTCAATTTCGCGCACTCCATCTTCCCTGAAAATAATAAGGGAAAAAAATAAGAGATTGATATTTCTGTTGAGCTAACCCGAAGCACTGAATGCTTTTCTTCTTTTTTAAATTGGAATTATTATCATCATCATCATCATTGTTGTATGCTCTTATTGTGTACATATGTCATCGTTCGATGTTTTATTTCAGAGAAAATTAAGCCCCTCTGTACTAGTTTGCCAGGAGGGATAACACCTCCCTCCGGAACCGCGGCAGATATAAAGTTTTTCTTTCGTGACTTTTTTCTTTCGAGTCTTACGCATTTTTAAAATCAATTTTTTTTTTAAATCAGACGTATGGTTACAAAGTCACATGACCTTTTGTCTTTGCATGTCAGCCCGAAAATCGCTCATTTTTGTGATTTGCGTACAAAACATATGGAAATATCATTTTTCCTAAAAAGATATAAAACATTGGTTATTTGGTCTTGTTTAAAGTTTAGGTGTTTGTTTTGGGGTCAAATACTTGAATAGTAGTAAAAAATGAAATAAAACAACAAGAAAAATAAAATACATAAGTTTAAAAAACAATGAAATACAAAAGAAATTATCAAAACAAGAGATAACATATGAAATGACCTGGCTCTTCCAATTTTTGTTGTCGTATTATTATTCCAAATGGTCCAACGAATATATGTAGTGAAAAAGAATGCTTAAATATGAATAATATATGATTTATGGGTAGAAATGTGAATTTTATAACCTTATTTGCATAAATTACCATGAATATGCAAATATCTGAATTTTCAAAAAATTGAAATTACCATAGTATTCTATACACTTTTATAATCTTATAACAATTTTATAACCTTATTTGCATAAATTACCATGAATATGCAAATGTCTGAATTTTCAAAAAATTGAAATTACCATAGTATTCTATACACTTCACTTGACCCCAGTAAAAACCTGGTCTGAAATAGAGTTAAGGCAGTTTTGATAGCCTAGTCCACCACACGCGAGAGGTCCTAGCTTCGATCTTTGCACAGCGTATACATATTTGGTGTTTTGCCCACATCCATCCCTCTTGACCCAGGAGTATCAAAATGGGTATCCGATCCAATCTAATCCAATCCAATCTAATCCGATCCAATCTAATCCAATCCAAAAGATATTTGATATAGCGCCTTTTCCTTGCAGATACAAAGTGCTGCATGCACACGCTACACAATGTTTGGGCCACTTAAAAAGAAAAGTTACACACTTCTCAGAGATCAGCAAAGTAGATGTAGGCTGGTAATAAAGTAATTTCTAGCAGAATAGATGTGATTTGAGTAGTTTCTTAAACTGGTCAACAGATGAGGCCGTCTGCACAGCAGTAGGTAGCTGGTTCCACAGTTTTGCAGCAACCGATGGAAAAGATAATTCACCAGCACGTTTCTTAGAGAGACACTGAGTGAGCCAGATGGATGATGATGAGCGAGTATTTCGGACTCGAGGATGGTTATCCGCGACTACGTCACAAATCTACCAATTTGCCAATTTGAGAATTGCTTAGACTTAGGGGTCTTGTAATTCAAACATTAAAACTTTCTTATTATTAGTCCAATATATTTCACACTTTCTTCATACTGTCTATCTGATTTTCTGCTTTCATACAAATGAACTTATTACAAGGGTTGGATTGCCCCTTAGCCCTGTATCATACATTACACCTCACCCAAACCCCAAACCTAGAACGTAAAACCTTAATTATTGCAAACCTAACCCTGTATCTTGGACGCAATCTGAAGCAATTGTTCCAGGACGGAGTAAAGGCCACTGTAACTTTGTTTTTAATTTCATTTTTAGGGGTGGGGGTCCAATAGATCCTGGTCCAATAAAGCCTTTGCTGGATACGCCACAGTGAAAGATAGCCATGAAGGGTTGTATTTGCATTATTAAAGGAAGCCCCCCCCCCCCCACGACATACACACCCTCTACAACTTTGTTTGGGGGGGGGGGGTGCCGGTCTATTAAAGAGAGTTATATGCCAGCTCCAAAACTCTCCTGGATAACGCCACAGACAGACAAAGATTGCCCCAAAGAAGACTGAAGGTTTTATCTGCATTTTGAACCCGTTCCCTTCCAGATTCTGATATTCCCATAAACTTTGTACACAGAGCACCCGGTGCCCTTAGGCAAAGGGTTAAAGGAAACACCCGCCTGACTATCAGTCCAAAGTTTGAGGACTCGATTCCCAGCCCGGCACTACTGTCCTTTGGCAGGATATTTATCCACATTTGCCACTCTCCATCCAGGTGTAAATAGGAACCTGACGATTGCTTTGGTGACTTGTTGCATGGCCTTCAGGAAGAACAGCATTGATGCTGATGAGAGTTCCATTCATTGGTACACAATGTTTTTCATTGTTTGATGTTGTTTGTCTGTTTCTTTGATTGTTTGTTTTGATGTTTGATTGTGTAGGAGAGGGGTGTAACTTACCCGTAGAGCTCCTGGAGTTCGTCAAGGAGACCATCATCCAGAAACACTCCTTTAAGGTCGTCCCAAGATTCTATCTTTGGTCGTTTAGGTGTGCACATCTCACGGTACTCCACATAAGAAGGGATGCCATGCTCGCGTCCACGCTGAATATTCATTGCAAGGAGATCCAAACCGAATCTAAAAATGAATGAGGTATACAGGGTTTTTATCTTCTTTTAAGGCAGTAAAATGAAACGAATGAATATTTTTGCTCATATTTCTTGTATATTTACCCCGTAGTTGGTGACACTTCATGTTCAAGCCTTGCGCCTACAATCAAGCTCATGAGTATCATCCAAGAAATACTAGATAAATAATGACTGCTTCGAGGGGTAAAGTTAAAGCTATTGCCCAAGGTGATCTTGAAACTGTACTTTGCCCCAAAAGGGGCATGGTGCAGTAAGGTCACTAAGATCACCAAGGAGCTTGATTTGTTTAACCGTGACTAGGGAAATAAGCAGTCAATATTTGTTTTATTTACCGTATTCCAAGTTTCAATTCAAACGAGATACTTTAACAAAACATGTCTGTTATTAGTACAATTATGCTGTGTCTCGCCAGTCAATATTTTGTCGCTATACTGCCCAGCAGTCAGAAGCGAATTTCATCCCTTGTGCGGTATGTGATACAAGATATACCATTTTAGGTTTCAATTCAAAAGAGATACTTTAACAAAACATGTCTGTTATTAGTAGAATTATGCCGTGTCTTGCCGGTCAATATTTTTCGGTATACTGTCCCGCCAGCAGTGAGAAGCGAATTTCATCCCTTGTGCGGTATGTGATACAAGATATGCCATTACACATTAGACGTCATTTCGATTGCGTAATCACCTGCACTAATCAAGACTGTATAAACAAAGTCGTGGATCCACAAGAAATTAAAAGCAATCTTTGCATTATTCATGTTGCAATCACTTTCTCTACAATATCACAATCACACAGTGCATCAACTGTCGCACATGTCCAGTCATCTGACGCATTCCTATCTATACGTCAGGCAAATGATGCCTCATGTACAATATCACGATTGACTCACCCGTCTTCCTCCTCCTCAAAGAGATGGCCCTGAATTGCTGAAGTAACATGGCGGTCAACCTTGTTCACTTTCTGAGCGATGTTTCCAAGAACAAATCCATTCATCCCATTCTGAGATGGCAAAATTAACATGTAATCGTGATTATAATTTTGTGTCATTTTCTTTTAAACATACTGCACCTCTTGTCTGGAATGCACTTCCTCAGGAAATATGTCAAACTAGAAATTTTAATGGATTTAAAAGGAAATTCAAATGTTATTTATTACAAGTACTTAACCCCTGTATATTATTTTATGTGATAACAAGAAATTCAATTTTGTATTCCTTCTTCACTTATAACATATGTTTATTTTATATAGATAGATATTTGTTTCCTGTTGTATTGTTTTGTTATTGTCCAGTATATTATTTATTTTTAATGTATATATTTATGATTGAATGGAATCAATAAATATTGAATTATGACAACATACCTATTCCCTACATAATTATATATCGTGTCTAATATTGAAATGTAATTTTGATGTGAGATATTCACAAGCTTTGAAATAATTAACTTATTTGTCAATCTTCCGATGTGTAATATTGATGGTTTCCTTTACTGCCTACTTCTCATACCCAAATAAATCAATCAATCAATCAATCAGTCTACTGTCTCTTTAGCTTTCACAGCTACAATTATCTTGCCATGATATCCGGGCACGAAATTCATTATATCAAAACAATGTCAAATATGTTCTCATGCTTTGTTCAATTGCTTTACGAATGAGAAGAAATCAAATGAAATCAAATCAAAACAGATCTCCCCCTAATCATATCCCAAACTCCAAGTAGTCTTACATTTGCTGCATCGTGCATAGCAGAGGCGTTAAAGAAGGCGTGATGGAGGGGAACAGCGGTCCGAGAGAAGTGCTTATTATCACGGATCTCAAGCTCGCTCGGAATCTAAAGTGCAAGGATAAAAAAGAGTAATTACATTCAATTATTCCCACTTCCTCATTTGCTGACCACATTTTTTGAAGCATCACTGCGTCAGTGATTGACCCGGTATCTGACGGTGGTCGTTATCACAGATCTCACGCTCCACCGGAATCTAATGCACAAGGAATTAAAAGCACACTTACAGAATTTTGTTTTTATCCCCGTCCCACTTGATGCGTCATTGACTGACGTGGAAGGAGGCGTCGGCCTCTGTCGCGGTCTCTGACGCATCATGTAAGAATGATATCGCAGACGTAGTGAGTAGAAATAAACAGTGTTTGTTGAAGTACTGGCGCATGCTCTGAATTACTGTTCTACATCAAATTTGGATGACATGCACCCACTCTGTAGAATAACAGAGAGCACGTATTTCTAAAAGAAGAAAAAAAAGTGATTATAATGGCGTTTCGTTACCTGGCTATGTCCCAAACGGTAGGCTGCTGAAGCGAACACGTTGCTCATGGTAGCACTTAGATTCTCATTGTAGTCTGGGACTTCCTTGCGACCAGGCTTAATAGAGAGCTTGAAATGGTCAGTCGCTACGGGACCAAAAAGGGCTGGCATGTACTCGTTGTATACAATATGCTGCCACACACCAGTAACGATCCTGAAATACAATTCAATTAAAAATGGCATTTATATTACAAACAATCGTGCGTGGCAACATTAGGTGTTTAATTATGCAGAATGTAGGCCTACCATAATGGAAAATAACAAGCAGTATAAGTAAAACATACCAGTAACGTGCATAGAAATGAAAAGAAAAAAAAAATTACAGACAAAAAATCAAAGAAACTAATGTAATTCTTAGCAGGTAAAATAGTATTATTTATATACCTCACTAAGAAATCCAGCCATCTGATTGGTCGAATTGCATTCATAAACTTCAACTGTTCCTGTAAAATTCTCGGTAACCATGCATAAAACATTTCAATATTTTTAATAACCATGGTTATTAAAAAAAGTTGGTCAGCCTCCATGGTTACCCCATAGGTTTACATGTTAAAAAATGGTTTGAGCGATGGAGGATGCCGTATGTGTGCGAAGGATTGGTCGGTAATTTCAATACAATTGAATCTCGATCGATCTTACCGACAATTTTATCTTGCATTGTTGACATGAAGACGAAAATAAACTTCCAAAAACAAAAAAACAACATCTGCCGATAGATCTTGATCTAAGTTCGTGCCAATATGCATTGCAAAAGTAAAAGAAGAGTCCGTATATGGAGCTTTTGCGAAGCATTCATCACACGCGAAGCCGGTTTTAATCCATTTTAATGTATATATCGGAGAAAACTGCCAAGCATGTTAACGGCGGGCCATAGCCGAGTGGTCTAAGCGTTGGTTTTCGGTACATCTCTTATTGTACGCAAGAGTTCGAATCCCGTCTTCGACAAAAATGATAAATATTTTTAATTTTTCATTTTTTAGTCTATTTTTTTTCGGCATATAAAAGTATTAATGACTGCTTTAATATTCGAGAAATAGTTGTTTTCATACGCTCTCGGGAAGGTTACAATTGGGCTATTCCCCTCGGCAAGCCTCGGGGAATAGCACAATTCTAACCTTCCCTTGAGCGTAATAAAACAACTATTTCTCTCAAAGCAGTCATTAATACTATAAAATATACCTTAATGCAGGTACAGACAAAATGCCAAAATAATGATGGGGGGTCAAAAGGAATTTTCTTGAATGTAAAGGGTCTGCATGCACCTTATTTGAAGTAAGTGATGAGAGATTGGAAGAGGGAGTTACGTAATACGTCCCCTACGACGTAAAGATCATCGGCGAGAAGAAGAATTGTTCATTTTTTCATGCTCGTTCAACACCATGCGTCATTTCAAGTGCGTTAATACCTCTGCTAATATAGTACACAAGTTATTCACCCAATGACTCCTGAATCCTGTTTCTCTCATAGGCTGAATCGAGTAGGCCTACTCGTCAGCTCCAGCATGCAATAGGCTAAAAAACACTATTGCATTGTTTCTGCTCTTATATTCATAGTCTATTGTTCCAAGTTGTGTCCGACACAAGCCTATCATTTTTGGATATACGCCGTTTTTGTGCGTTAAAACTGTTGATATGATTGTTAAATTGCTCGTCAATGCGTATGAACATATTTATACTTCAGTATTTTGATAATAAAGGAAATGGAAAAGAGCTAAATGTTATTTTGAATTGAATTGAACTATTTGTTTTGCAGTTTTTTAATTATTTTGAACGATGTCTTTCTAACATGGTGCAAGTATCGCATCAGTCGTGCATCAGATAGCACTACGCTGATTGACCAACAACCGCGATGGTCCGCACGGAGAAGGTCAACAAGCCAACTTTATTATTAACCGTGAGCACCAGGCATAACCTCCGTTCATATAAGCCCTATTGTAAATGTTCATGTTCAAGCATTATCTGCAACCATAGCTACTATTGAAATATCTGTCAGTATCATTAGGGATCATTTTGGACATGCGCTAATTCTGGATTAGTTCGGTCTATTCTCTACAAGATGGACAGTATATTGTAAATCCACTCTTCTTTTGGAGTGAAAATTAACGCTCAAGCTAGTGGAATCCACTCACAAGGAGCAATTCAAATTACTACTTCATGACGGTGGGCGGATTCTGATATAGCTTTGGAATTGATTTACAACATGTAACTCCTAAATGGACTGCTAAAGTCGAGTTTAAAATTAGGTGCATTATCCCTATTGCAGACTTTTAAAAGAGCGGATTTCTACAATAAGGGACTATCGAATTATTATCTACCGGGCTGGCCAGAAAATACTACAAAACGGACAACATCATACAATACAATTTAGCTAAAAAAATCAAACTATTAACATCATATTCCATAAATATGAATCCGGCGTAAACTGAAAGACAAGCGCCATAACAAACTATCGCATCAACAACCAAGAACAAAAGCAGTAGTGCTTACTTTCTTGTCTCGTTGAACAGTCGCTCCTCGTCCCAGTGACCGTTTATGAGCTGAAGCTCACTCACGATGTTGTTATGCAGGCGGACGAAGATGGTGTGGAGCGCGGTGAGTGTGGGCTGTTCTGCAGCCCTCTCGTCGCCAGCGAGCCCACATTTCACTGTTCCACCCTGCGTGCCGCGGCATTCGTGGTGGTCCTCGTCCAGTGGCAGAAACGGGAGTAGGTTTGCATCGCCTAGCTGATGGGTTGCCAAACGTGAGGAGCTCTTAGCTAAAAGATGAGAAAAATATATGTTGGTGATTTAATCATAACTCATTTCATTTGTTTATTTATTTCCATCTTAACATAAAAACAATCAGGCACGTACGCAGGGGGGGTTAAACCCCCCCCTTAGGTATTTATTTGTGTGTAAACCCCCCTAAACCCCCCCCCTTTGTTTTTTGTTTTTTAAATTTTTAAAATTTAAAAAAAATTATTGCCATGGCTGACCTAAAAAGATGACCTTACCCCCCCCCCCCCCAAAGGAGCAAAATGTCAAATTTTCAAATTTCGAAAAAAAAAAAAAAAAAGCGTCCCCCTGCTTATTCAATGGCCGGCTGAGTCGTTACGATTTTTTGGGGACCCCCCCCCCCCAAAAAAAAAAATGTCCTCTTACCCCCCCCCCCCCCCCCCCCGATTTTAAAATGTTAAAACCCCTCTTTGAACAAATCCTGCGTACGCGCCTGAAAACAATAGATCATTACAATATGATACTTCAACAAAAAAAATACATACATGTTAACAAACAGTCTAAAATGAGAAAAGGGGAACTAAAATAACGCCAAAAGGCCTTGTAAAATTATCGTTTGGTTTTTTCAACTTATTCTGTTACTGAAAGACATGTAAACAAATTAAAAACAATAACAATGACAATAATAACGAAAATGTTGCATTCTGGGAAAGGTGTTAAATAATTTGTGAGCTTTATCATTCACTTCATGTTACTCAGGCTGGGGATCAAAGAACATCATCAACCACTATCCCCTGTGAAATGTACTACTGTAAAATGCCTTCATATTACAAATAATTATGACAAGAAAAAGTTGGATGTTTGGACCTAACTTTCATACCACCCGTTTGTTTAGTTCCCTATACACTTGAATGTGTACAGTACGTGCATGAGAATGTTGGCAATTTCTAATCATTTTTGTGATTCCATAACCTCACAATTTACACAAATTCTTATTTTTTCCATAATGACCTTTCTCATTCGCTACCAGGGTGTTTTACAATTAGCTATCGCAAAATCAGCAGAAAAGGAATCTGTATAAATGAATCACAATAAATATGATTTGCTTAACAATTTCACAGGCAGCAGTGATGATCGATAGCAATTAGACAATGAATGGAGATGTTTATCGTGAGAACGGTTCTTTCCTTCTTTTTTTTCTTTTCTTTTCTTTGAATTATTAACTTTTACCTTGACTATTATTTCTAGATCTTAAAAAAAAAAGGAAACACAAATGTTATGTATATGAACAATAGACCTATAATAGATTTGCTTCATGTATTTTTTTGTCTAGATTATGGTATTCTGAATCATGTAATTATGATGATTTATGAAATGTGAACAATTAATTTGAATTTCTATGTCATTTCAGACGTTAATTACAATTTCATACAAAGTGAGCCAATGTATCTAAGCATTCAAGTGACCTTGTCTCAATCCACATGATAACCTGGAACTATTGCCTGGAACTATTACCTAGCTTTTAATTTCATGAACTTCTCGTCTAGATTAATGAACTCTAAAATCTCTCTGCATCTTTTCCAATGCAGCATTTCACATGCAAGGTATTTGTCTTGAATATCCGATGAAAACTTACAGGTTTACTAACTTCAAAGATTTGATAACTACCAAAAATATTGACAGTTGACTTTAATAACAAAACAAAAGAGATCTCAAGTAAACCATGTCATTTTTGAATGAAATGACAAGACTTAATAACGATAATAATAATAAATTGAAAGCAAAAGCTCAAGGCGCACTTGTAGAACAAAAAAGAAAAAGAAAAAGTGATCACACATTAAATAGGGGCTTATGCCAAAAGGGTGGGCAGGGTAGTGTCGCGTCGTGTTGACTTGAACGCGACCATTCGTCCAAAGCCCCCCCCCCCCCCCCGGTTTGGCCGATAGGGTGCGTTGGGAGTGTTGCGTCGCGTCGAACATGACCATTCGTCCAAAGCCACCCTCCCCTCCCAGTTTGGCCGAAAGGGTGCATTGACTAGTCTTCCACATCAGTCGTTTATAATAGAATTTAAGGAACAGAAATTTGAGTTGTTTAAATTCAAATAATCAAAATAGAAACAGATTAAAAATTAAATCAATAAATAACAAGAAACACAATCAAATAATTTACGATGATATCTAAAATGTCTAATAAAGATGTTTAACTAGTCTTGCATATCAGTTGTTTATTTATTAAAACAACTAAATATAATATTCATTTCTTTCTATGGTATATATGGAATCAGAAAGCCCCCCCCCCCCCCCCACCCGCCGGTTTATCCCGAATGGGTGCATTAAGGTGGTAGCTAGGCTTACTCCGTTATTTATTTATTTATTTGTTATTTCATTTGTAAAGACTGTTAAGCATGACTAGTTTACATCAACAAAGAATTCTATACAGTGCGTCCCAGAAAAAACGAAACCGAGAAGTATCGATGTTCTATCATAACTTAATCACAACTATAATTAATGAATGATACATATTTGGAAAGCTTAGAGTCTCCTCTTTAATGTGATGCTACTCAGATGATGCATATTTCACGCATGAGTGATTAAAAGCAATTTGAAGGAAGGAAACCAAAAAGACATTTGGCGGGCGGTATCTGAATTTCGAAGAAAAATTCACATTTCTAGAAAGTTGAGTTTCTGCCCTTTCATATGACACCTCAATCAGGAAAAATGAGCGAGGAATGACAAAGTTCTGTTTGTTTAAAGTAGTGCTTGCATTTCCATAATTTTATTAAACGAATTCGTTTTCACTGGCTGCCTGCCTATCAATAAACGAAATTAACAAAAGACTTAACTCCGTTTCGTTAACAATCAGCCGTAGACGAGAGTCTTCATGCATGGCTGATTGTCAACGAAACGGAGTTAAGTCTTTTGTCAAATCTGCTTTTTGCTACGGCAGGCACACAGTGAAAACGAATTCGTTTGTTAAAATTATGAAAATGTAAGGGCTACTTTAAACCAACAGAACTTTGTTATTCCTCGCTCATTTTTCCTGATTGAGGTGTCATATGAAAGGGCAGAAACTCAACTTTCTAGAAATGTGAATTATTCTTCGAAATTCAGATACCGCCCGCCAAATGTCTTTTTGGTTTCCTTCCTTCAAATTGCTTTTAATCACTCATGCGTGAAATATGCATCATAGGAGTAGCATCAACCGAAAAAGGAGACTCTAAGCTTTCCAAATATGTATCATTCATTATTTATGGTTGTGATTTAGTTATGATAAAACATCAATACTTCTCGGTCTCGTTTTTTCTGGGACGCACTGTACATAGAAAAAAATGGATATTATTTTTATTTGGCCTTTTAAAAATATTTATTGAATTCATTTATTGATGTAATTCTTATAAACACCTAATCTGCAAGACTACGTAAAAACTAGTTTTATTTAATTTTAATCTGTTTCTATCTTGATTATTTGAATTTGAACGACTTAAATTACTATTCCGTAAATTCTATTATAAACAACTGATGTGGAAGACTAGTCAACGCACCCAAACCGGGGGGCTTTGGACGAATGGTCGCGTTCAAGTCAACGCGACACGACGCTTCCCTACCCACCCTTTCGGCATAAGCCTTAAATAGGAGGCGAGAGAGGCCAAGATTGTATCAGAATATAAACAAAGAGAATACAATTCTTTGTTACACATAAAAATGAACCTTTTTCCTGAGTTTGAGTTGACATTGTCTCCTCATTGCACAAAATCAATGTGAATAAAGTTTCAGACTGAAATAAAATTGTGTATAATAATTGTGTGCGTATAATATGTAATGCGTATAAGAGAATTTGACCCATTGCTTCAGTCCAAATTTGGTACAAAAGGATTTTGACCAGACGCGTACGCAGGATTTTTTTCTAGGGGGGGGGGGGTTTAACATTTATAAATCGGGGGGGGGGGGGGTAAGAGGACAGAGGACACTTTTTTTTTTTTTTTTTTTTTTTGTCTAGAAATTTGAAAATTTGACATTTTGCTCCGTTGGGGGGGGGGGGGGGGGGGGGGGGTCAGCTTTTTTAGGTCAGCCATGGGAATTTTTTTTATTTTTATTTTTTCATTTAAATAAAAAAAAAATTGCAAAGGGGGGGGGTTTAGGGGGGTTGAGGGGGGTTTACACACAGAAAAATACCAAAGGATGGGGGTTTAACCCCCTCCCCTGTGTACGCGCCTGATTTTGACAATACTCTTTTTAAAGGGATCAGGTAACTTTGTCTCAGATTCTGAAACAAAATCCTGGATCTAAGTAGCTCATGCTGTAATGATAATTATAACCTTTAGGTCAGTCAGGAACCCCATGACTTTTACATGCCGAGTGGCTGTCTGATTATCAAGATATTTATGATTGGAAATCAAAACAAAATTTTGCGTTTTCCTAACGTTTATTTATAACACTACAGTCTATTGGGGAAAACGAGTACTGGTATGGTAAAACCAGTCACTCAAAGATTTTATTTGAGGCATTCTTGATTATTTTGAAGCACAATTTTTTTAGGGCTTCAATATTACACCATATCACAGACACTGATAACACGTAGGGCAGTGCATCTCAGATTTAACATTGTCAAACGATGCCTTTAACCCTAAAAAGGCCGGGCTATTTGAGGTCTTGGTAGGGCCGGGGGGGGGGGGGGCCATTATGGCCCCCCTTAAGATCTCGGCCGCGAAGCGACCGATTGCCGCGAAAATTTGCACGCATGTCAAGTGAAGTGTATAGAATAATTTGATTAAAATAATTTTTGAAAAATTCACTCATTTGCATATTTATGGTAATTTATGCAAATAAAGTCATGAAAATCACATTTTTACCCATAAATCATATATTATTCATATTTAAGCATTCTTTTTTACTACATATATTCATTAGACCATTCTGAATAATAATACATCAAAAATTTGGAAGAGCCAGCTTATTCCTTATGTTATCCCTTGTTTTGATAATTTCTTATGTATTTCATTGTTTTTTTAACTTATGTATTGCATTGTTTTTGTTGTTTTATTTCATTTCTTACTACAATTCAACTATTTTGACTCCAAAAACAACCATCTAAACTTCAAACAAGACCCATTAACCCATGTTTGATCTGTTTTTAGGAAAAATGACTTTTCCATATGTTTTGTACACAAATCACGAAAATGAGCGATTTTCGGGCTGACATGCAAAGACAAAAGGTCACGTGACCTTGTAACCGTAGGTCCGATTTTCAAAAAAATTCTTTTAAAAGTTGCGCAAGACTCGAAAGAAAAAAGTCAGCGAGCGGCGGGGCGCCATCCATATGCGTTTTCGAGCAATCAGAAAAATCGTGGAGTAGGGGGCCATAATGCCCCCCCCCCCCCGGCCTTATTAGGGTTAAAGGCTGCTGCTCAGTCATCCGTGGCAGCAGAGTGATGAAAAATTAAAGGTGTCATCAGTAAAAGGTATTAGTGGTGTAATGAGCAAAACTTTTTTTTTTGGGGGGGGGGGGGGGGTAGAACAAAATTTGCATCACCACCAGGCGAGCAATTTTTCTGTTGTTATCAGGGATGATTTCAAGTTTTGTTTCTCTTTTTACATGGTCCAAGATACTGAGCATCATACATTGCAGTTGGGCGTGATGGTCTGAATATATGTAATTTGCAAGCAAGTAACAATTTAAGGATTTTTGAGGTCGCAGTATGAAATACTACATCTTATAAAGAAAGTAAAAAAAACAATACTGATGGGGTTTCAAGCATAATCTAATCATGAAAGACTGAAAAGATATTTAATAAGAAACATAATTATACCAACCTAAAATGCGAGGTCTGGGCGAAATTAATTAAAAAACTGCTTTTAATAGTTGCTTTAAAGGGATCCGGTAACTTTGTCTCAGATTCTGAAACAAAATTCTGGATTTAGCTCATGATGCAATGATAATTATAAACCTTTAGGTCAGTCAGGAACCCCATGACTTTTACAAGCCGATCGCCTGTCTGATTATCAAGATATTTATGACTTGAATTACAAATTTTGAAAACCGTTTGCCTGACGGTTTTCATAACACTATACAGTCTATTGGGGAAAATGAGTATGGTGAAACTGGTCACTCAAAGATTTTTACTTTTTTGAGGCACTTCTTGATCATTTTGAAGCGCAGTTTTTTTAGGGCTTCAATATTACACCATATCACAGACACTGATAACACGTAGGGCCGTGTATCTCAGATTTAACGTTGTTCAACGATCCCTTTAAATTAAGAGCATATTTTAAGGTGAAAGGTGAAAGGAAAAAGTGGCACTTATCCAAAGGAAAAATGACACTTATTAGAAAAGAAAAGGAGGATGTGTCAAAGTAAAAAGGGGAATTATCAAAGGTGAAAATGGGACACTTCTCGAACCTCATAAGGGGCACTCACCAGCAGTGACGTATTGAGCGAACAACTTTTGGGGGGGGGCATAATGAGCGAAAACTTTTTTGGGGGTGCAATCTTTGCGAGGGAGCGTAGCGACCGAGCGGAGGGAGGGGTGTTCCCCCTCCCATGGCAGGGAGCTTTTGCATTTTTCGACTGGAAAATGTGCAATCTGTGGCATACCTAAGTAGGCAATTTTGACTTGATGACATGTACTAAATGGGTAAGCATGTCAGAGAATTTTGTCAGAGAACTCAGAAACATAATTATGAAAATATGCACCCCAAAATAACCTTCGCAAAATGTCGCGAATACAATGTTTGGGCCTTAACTCTGCAAATAATTCAAGTATCCTTTAATTAAAGTATATTTTGCTTCAGAAAAAAAATAATAATAATCAAAGGGAGGGGTAGGGATGACCAGGAATTTATGGACAGTTGGGCAGTGTCCTTATTAACTTGTTTATTATTATTATTGTTTTTTTTTGCTGTCGGGGGGGGGGACTATTTATGAAAATTACAATTAAAAATCTCCAATCTAAGCCAGAAAATGATCACTTTCGGCCCAGAAAATTGACAACATTGATAACAAAATCCTTAATTTGACCATTTAATAGCTACCCCAACCCCAAATGTATGTATTTTCTTAAGGCTTAAAATCCATGGATCATTTTAAGATAACAATCTCAATTTTGATGAAGAAAAAAAATTAATACCCCTCTGGGCCACTTAACGGTAGAGGTGCAATGTTACATGCTGTACCGGGTACGTATGGAACGTTAGTTCGCAAATCTGTGCATGCACAGACCGAGTGGTAGGTAGCATGTTATCTCCCGGCAGTGCTTGTCGTAGTAGATGCTGGAAAGGAATTTTCTACTTGTGTTACTGTTAGTGGCCACTATATTAAGACCCATTAGTGATTATAAAAAAACATATGCTCTTTCCATGGCTATTTGGGAATGTGTCAGATTGCAACAGAAATAAAGAAACATGAATTTTGTAGAAAATCATGTGATATATCATGAAAATGTATAAATCACTTGTATGGAATTGAAAATAAGTCATGGTTTAATTTCATTTAGGGGGCAAGCGCCCTCCCCCCCCCCCCCCCCCCACCAGAGATGAAAAGGGCATTTATGAGAACGGAAAAGGAGCACTTATTGCAAATTAGGAGAATTAAGGACAATTATCGGAAGGAATATGGCAATAATTAAGAAGGATACTCACTGGAGATGAAAAGGGACACTTGTAATGATAAAAAGAGGCACTTGTCAAAATATAAGGGACACTTGTCAAAATATAAGGGACACCTCATAGATTTGAAAATGAGGTAATTAGAGGTGAATGGGCACTTATCAGAGGTGGCAAGGGGCACTTGTTGTATCTAAAAAAGGGCCATTCACCTGGGATGAATAGGAGCACTTGTGAGAGTAAGAAAGGGGCACTTTTTACAAAGAAAACATTGGCACTTGTCGTAGGAAAAGGGGCACCCATGATATTTTAATAGAGCATTTATTAGAGGTGTGAATAGGGCATTTATGAGAAGGGGAGGTGGCTCTTATTTTTTAAGGGACATTTATCAGAAGGAAAATTGGGACTTATTAGAAAGAAAGAAGGGGGCACATGTTAAAATAAATGGGGGACACTTATCAGAGATGAGAAGGGGTACTCATCAAAAATTAAAAAAAAGGGGCACTTATCTGAAGAGTAGCACTTATTACAAAAGAAAAGGCACTTCTTAAACTAAGTTAAATGGGCTTCTCTAAGATTTGAATAGGGCAATTATCAGAGGTAAAAGAGGCACTTGTCAGTTTAGTAAGAGGCACATATAAGAATATGGAATGGGAACCTATTTGAAATTAAAAAAAGTGATACGTACCATCACGAAGCTTCTCAAGCCGTTCGTCAGAAGACCCATAAACCCCGGATGCGTCGATATACGCGGTAATATCGTTAAGATGTTCACGCGGCAGCGGTACCACGGGTACGACAGACTCCACTAGCTCCTTAGTGATGGACACCTCCTCGAAGCCGCTGCAGTCATGCGCATCTACGCCAATGGTACGGGGCAAGTCCATGCATGTCATTTTGCCTTCGTACAGAACGTCTTTCTCAAAAACTGAAATGGGGCAGCAGGAGTACTTAGAATCTACAGCTGGGCATTCCTCGCATTTTCCTGCCAAAGAAACAGAAGTAACGTTTATTTGTTTTAATCATCCTCATATCGGGTCCTTCAAGATTCAGAGAGTGCTTTATCTAGATGTAAGACAGACAGTCAATGGTTGCATCGTTGTACGTACGTGACGCGTGCCCCTGTGGCAAATGCTGAGCGTATACTTTCCCACAGGTACAGTAAATTAAATTTTCTTGTCAACTCCAGTGGCGGATCCAGGGGGGCCCGAAACAGCTGCGGCCCCACTTATTGGCAGCGCAAAAAAAAGGAAGGAAAAAAGGAGGAAGAAAAGAAGAGGAAAAAAGAAAGGAGAAGAGAAAAAAAGGAGAAGAAAAAAGAAAGGAGAAGAGAAAGAAAAGAGAAGAGAAGAGAAAAGAAACAGAGAGAGATCAGAGAGAGAGAAGAAAAAAATAGGGGGGGGGGGGGGACGTACACGTCCCCCAGGAAATTCAGAAATATAGCTAGAAAGATATATACCGGAAAGATTGGGCTCAGGGATTTCCTAGAGAGCATATTGTCAGCATTCAACATTGCAAAATCTCGCTTGGTCCGCTACGTACGCCCCCTCGGCCCTCGCCCAATAACACAAAACTATGATAAGACACTTCGCCCACCGCGACCGTGATTTATCCATGGTTGGTGTAATAATTTTGTTTTCGTTTTTATTTCTACTAACATGATTGTGTGCTATCACAAATCACAATCATAATTGTTTCATTTTCCCTTTAAAGCAGGCGCGTAGCCAGAGTCGCGAGAATTGAACAACGAATCGTCTAATTCTTTCTCTAATAATTTCATTAAACTATGAAGGTCAAAGCTTACGCTGTGCGCGGGGACGGGGGGGGGGGGCCGAATTCAGACAAGGAATAAGAGTCGAGAATGATACAAGAAATCGTTTTTTATTTCTCTAATAATAATTGAAAGGTCAAAGCTTCCGCGCTTCGCGCGGGCGGGGGGAGGGGGGGGGGGGAATTGAATTCAGACAAGGATTAAGAGTCGGGGGGGGGGGGGGGGACCATATTCAGACAAGGAAAAAGGGTCGAGAATGGTACAACAAATGGTCTTCTTTCTTTAATAATTTCATTAAACTATGAAAGGTTAAAGCTTACGTGCTTCGCGTGGGAGGGGGGGGGGAACTTAATTCAAACAAGGAATAAGAGTCGAGAATGGTACAACGAATCGTCTTCTTTCTCTAATACTTTCATGAAACATCAGAGATTCTGCGCTTCGCGTGTAATGGGGGGGGGGGGGAGGAAACAGCGAGCTGCCAGAATATGAATTTTTTTCTTGTTTATCTTGGTGATAAATAACACTTTCACAAAATACATATTATGCTCAAATTTTTGCTCGCACGTTTCGCTCACTAGCCGAATTGTGAACCAGAAATTTACTTTTTCGGGCAAAAGGCTTCAACCCCCCCCCCCCCCCCCCCGTTGAAATTGTCAACAAATTGTATGACTTAAAAACGGGAAATGTCGATATCGGACAAGAGACGTGATGTGAGCCTGCCCCCTTTCCAAAATTGTCCCTGAGTATTGTATGTTGAGTTGAAAAAATGGTCTGCGCTTTTTTCAAATTTCCGCCCCCCCCCCCCCAAATTTGGAAAATCCTGGATCCGCGCCCCTGTAACTCTATAACCCTTGACCCAACATTTTACTTGACCCTAATTCAGAGGCGGCGCTCTGGGGGGGGGGAACAGGGGGCACAGTACCCCTCAAACTTTTTCAAGAACACAAAAAGTGCCCATTTTTACATTTTATTTTATTTATTTATTTATTTGTCTTTTTTTAGTAAGGTGGCTCCATCAGTAGTTAAATACTGTTTTCCGTGGAGACCCTACAAGATAAATACAAAATTTACAACATATAAAGAATCCAAATCGAGACAAAATGAATTCAGTTACAACATTTTCGAACAAAAGAAAGAAACAAAAAACAACACAATAGACCAGTTCAATAAGATTGTCATAACGCCAAAACAAAACAGTATAATTATGAAGAATTTGATTGAGCATTTTTTTAAAAAACTATTCCAAAGAGCCGAACCATGAAATGAAAAACTTTGTTTTCCCATCTGGGTTTTATTTTTTGTAAAATTAATCCTGCCCTTTGTGCTCCTTTAACTTTGAAAGAAGTGCCCCTTTTTACATAGGAAAAGTGTCCTTTATACATAGGAAAAGTGCCCCTTTTACTTTGACAAGTGCCCCTATTAATTTCTAAAAGTCCCCCTTTCTACCTCTGATAAATGCCTCTTTTATTTTGACACGTACCCCTTTTCCTTTGACAAGTTCCCATTGTCTTTTGCAATAAGTGTCCAATTTCCATTCGTGCCTTTTTAAAATCTCTAGTAAGTTCCCCTTTTCGGATACGAGAAGCGCCCCTTTCACCTCTGATAATTGCCCTATTCAAATCTGAGAGGTACCCCTTTTGCTTTGTAAAAAGTGCCCCTTCCCCTTTTAATAACTACCCCTTTTTAACTCGGATAAGCGCACCTTATATTTTCACATGTGCCCCCTTTCCTTTTTATTAAGTGCCCTTTTTCCTTATGCTAAGTGCCCCCATTTAAAAATGGCCTCTTCCCTTCTCATAATAATGCCCCTTTTCATTTTTGAAAATAGTTCCTTTTCATTCTCATAAGTGCCCCTTTTCATCTCTTGTAAATGACCCTATTCAATTTTGAGAGATACTCATTTTATTTGACGAGTGCCTCTTCCCCTCCTGATAAGTGCTCTTTTTATCTCTTATAAATGCCCCTTTTATTTTAACACGTCCCCCTTTTCCTTCCTAATAAATGCTCGCTTTCATTCTTATAAGTGCCCCTTCCCCTTTCATAATTAACCTTTTCCATCTTTGATAAGTGCCCCGTTTATTTTAACATGTGCCTCTTTTTCTTTTTTAATAAGAGCCACTTCCCCCTTCTCATAAAATTCCCCTTTTAGCTCCGGTAAATGCCCCTATTAAAATCTGATCGGTGCCCCTTTTCTTTCTTTTAACAAATGCGCATTTCTCTTTATCATTAGTGCCCCCTTTTTATTCTCATAAGTGCCTCTTTTCATATATGGTCAGTGCCCCTTTTCAGATGGGATAAATGCCCCCTATTCACTTCTTATAAATGCCCCTATCAAATTCTGATGGGTGCCTCTTTTCTGTCGACAAATGCCCATTTCCCATTCTCATAAAATCCCTTTTCATCCCTGGTGCGTGCCTTTTTTTATGTGTAAGAAGTGCCCCATTCTCACCTCTGATAATAAGCCTTTTTTATTACACGTGCTCCTTTTCTTTTATAATAAGTGTCTTAACCCTTTCGATAAGTGTCCCCTTTCCCTCTCATCATTAAACGTGCCCCTAATTTCAAGCAACTAAGAGCAATTTCCCCCCAAATTCGCTCGCTACGCTCGCTCGTAGTCATAGATGTTATAATTATGTAACTTATCAAAGGCCTTTTTAGTCTTCCGTTATGAGAATTTGCTTATAACCCCATCAGGAGTGGGGTTTTCCTCTTTATAAGATGTAATTTTTTTCGCACTGCGACCTCACAAATCTTTAAAAATGTCCTCGCTCGCAAATGAATTTTCAGATAATCACACCCAACTGCAAAGTATGATGCTTAAGCAATATCTTATATGATGTATACAGAAAAACAACTATTGAAATCATCCCTGATAATGTAACCACAATATGGGGGTATATACCAATGTCTAAAAAACTGTATATTTTCGATTTGAAGGTGCCTTTTTTTCCAGATAGTGCCCTTTTTTGTTGGTGCCTCCCCCCCCCCCCCACACACACACACACTTTGGAAGTCGCTCCGCCGCCTCTGCCCTAATTACATATCTTAAAGACCTTATCCGATGAAAATATTTAATCACATCCGAGTCAATGGAGAGCTAAGTAAACGTAGAATACAAATATAAAGGATTTATTAAAAAAATTCCCTTTGAGGCAGTATTGCCCAACAGCAAATTAAACCTCATTTTCCGCACCCCTCCAAATTTAGGGTCAAAAGGGTAAAAGTTTCCGCAGTTACTGCGACGACATAACATGTAAACTCCGGGGGGGGGGGGGGGGCTCAGATTTAGTTTTGACAGGGGTGTGCCGCTGAAGCCTCGAAACCCCTACCCATTTTTAAGAGTCATTTTGGCGGATTTTTTTCGAATTTAAGCCCATTTTTTTCTATATTTTCGGGTGTTTGCATGATAAAAACCCAGAAAATGTTCACAATTTTCAAAATTCTGAAAAAGCGGACCCATATTTAGGGGTGTTTTTGTTAAAAATGGGACCCATGTTTAGGGATTTTTTGTGTGAAAAAGTTGCCCATTAGAGCGGGACACTCCCGTATGTCTTACTATTTAAGCCCCCCCCCCCCCCCCCAAGGTGTGAACTCATAGAAATATTTGAAGCTTATAGTTTGACTACAGTTTAGCATCATTAGACACCTTTAACATCAAGAGCAAACAATATTTTGGTGATTGGTATAATTAAACTGAAACTGAATGCCTATTTTGCCTTTGACTTCGGATAAAACAAATATATATACATTAAATAGCACAATCTACTATGATCTGTCCCTTATAATTGTCTAATATATAAGCTTTAAAAGATGCATATAATACTATTCATAAATTTCTTCAAAGTACTGTATATGAAATCAACTGTCCAGACACATGTGGTTTGGGCATAGTTCGAATCAACTTGTCATCGCGTCGAGTCGGGTGGCCGCGTTACCCGACCTTGAGTGAAAACGTGCCCTTTAATTCACGAAATGTCAGTAACGTACGCAGGATTGTTCAGGGGGGGGGGGGGTTAAAATTTTTAAATCGGGCCGAAAATTTCGGTACGACTCAGCCAGCCGCTGAATAAGCGGGGGGGGGGGGGGGTAAGGTCACCTTTTTTAGGTCACCCATTAGCATATAAAAAAACAAAGGGGGGGGGGGTTCTTCAAAATACACACATAATTATTTTTTTTAAAACCCAAAACCCCATCCCCCCCCCCCCCCTCCTGCGTACGCCCCTGGTCTAGTCCAATTTCCCCGACACTTTGTGAAACAAATCTACGAAAGGTCGCATAATTATGGTCTCCCGTTTTCATTTTACAAAAGGAAGTGTAACGCGACCATCTGACCGGTAAAGATCATGCCCCGATGCCCCGATGTTAGAAGTTCTCCTGACATGTGGGTCTGTATACTCACGGTTGTATTGAGGCGCGTGTGTAACGTCATGATCGAGAAACTGGCCCAAAATGGCTAGGAGCATCGAACCTGTGGGGTCATTGCCCTCTACCTCGGCTATGGTGCCCACCTTGACTGAGACTTCTCTAGCATTCGGCAGGGTAGCATCGGGGTGCCTCTTATGTACTCTCATCGCTTCATAGCCTTCAATGAAAACCATCACAACGAGTCAAGATTGTTATTATTATTATTATACATTTATGATCATGATGACAAAATTTTGTGACCGCATCTTAGCAGATAAGCAGATCAGTTGAAGTTAAATCTAAACACGTATCTGTTTGATTTGGCCCATTATTGATTGATTACCTGATCCTATTCAAACGGTAATATTGCGTCTGATGCTTTTATATGGTTTCATCTTTTGCAAGTGTGCATTCGATTTCAAAAGGACTCGCACGTTATGAAATTGTTCTTATTATTATTATTGTTATTACTTTTATTTGTATTTTAATTATCATTTTACCATTGTTTTTATTATTATCATTTAAGTATTGTTATCATTATTATCATTTAAGTATTGTTATCATTATTATCATTATTGTTAATGATATTATCATCATTATTTTTATTATATTGAGTGTATCAATATAATTGTTAGCATTGTTACAATCGTCATTCTTATTTTCATTATTTTTATCATCTTCTCAATAATATCAATACTCCGATAAATGATTTTCTACGCCATGACAATCAAACTTCATCATCATGTCTTTACGAAATGAGGCACAACCTTCACCCTTCAGTGCAAAGACTTTCGAAAAAACAACCGGTTTATCACGGTTTCCGAGCCCCCCCCCCCCCCCGCGAGCCCCTAATACCCAATAAAAAAAGTTTCTGACGAGATGCGGTGGTGAAACAGTAAAAGAAAAGTAAAAATTTAACCGTCATATTAAGTATCATTGTAGCTAGTGTATGAGAATATCGAGTTTCAATAAATCACTTTATAAGACTGTACTAACCATCCGCATAGACAGGTTTACGTAGTCTCCTCAACGGCCACTTAGCTTTTCCCCAGTTCGGATTTTTCAGGTTGTTACAAGCCCCGTCGAGTCGGCGATACTGCTTATTGGACGCCTCTAAGCACGCTTCTTCTTCTTTAAAGTGATAAGCAGTTTTGATACCCTCACATGTTTCAGGTGGGAGACTACATGCAAGAGAAATGATGATAATAATAATAATAATAAGACAACATAAAAAATAGTTTCAAAGAATAGAGCTTGTGAAAGATTAGCCTTGTGGTAAACAAGTTATTCATTAATGTCTACTACTACTACTACTACACTACTACTACTACTATACTACTACTACTACTACTACTACTACTACGAGAAGTACTACTATACTACTACCACCACTACTACTACTATTACTATTACTACTACTATCACTACTACTTTCACTATGATAACGTGAATCCTAATCAAATGATTGGTTGAGAGCGTACACGTGACCAGGCATTTATTTTGCCTAACGCGTAATTTGGATATTGACCGGTCATTAGTAAAATCATGTTATAAAACATCATTTAATAAAACAAATAAAACATAATCTTATAAAACAAATAATACACATAATTTTGTACGGGCATAAGTAAAACTACTAACACTCGGTACCTTCAAAACAGTCCAAACCTTGAGTGGGTAATTCTTACTTATGCCCTCACTGGCGTGTATTGCACCTAATACACTAGCCTACTACTTCTGCTATCATAAATTTCCATTCCGTACCTATAAAGGGAATTTATAGGCATTTAATGATTGGCCAATTTTACAACACCTGACCTATACGAGTATGGAGTATTCATTGCGCGCTTATCAGTCATCCGTGATCATTATGATAGCACTTTTTCTACTGATCAAATGCCCAGCGCACAACGCACGATCCACATGCAATCCAATTTCCCGAGAAATTTCACTTATATTACATATAAGGAAATCTAAACATACATCATCTTCCCGATTTGGGTTCTGATTGATGATAACAACACCATACATGCAGAAATTTGCTGCATTTAAGCCCCTAGTCAGAATTTAAAGCTGAAACGGCTTTAAATCGTAAACAATCGCACTAGATGATCTGACGTCAATACGATTCTGAGCCGACTTAGCTCTTCCTCCTCTAAAGACGCTTAAAATCCCTTAAAATCTAGATTTTATGATAGATGCATAAAGACTACTCAGATTCTCGATCATTAAGATTTGTAAAACTTGAATATTCAAATTAATTGCTATTGCAGATTCATTCAAAATCGAATCGTAGTCAGATCGTATAGTGTGCGATGGGCTTAAGGGTCTAAATAAGGACTTTTAGATTTGCTCGACGGAGAACGTGGATGGACTGCCCTTTTAAGGCAATGTGACGTCACTGCCAGTGCCTTAAAAGGACGTCACATTGCTTTAAAAGGGCAGTCCACGTTCTCCGTTGTGCAAATCTAAAAGTCCCTAATTACTCGGCTAATCAGAACACATTTTAAATTTACAGTAATCAATGTAAATGCAATCAAGTGTATTTAACGCATGTAGCGCCGTTCTGTAGACATTATATTTAATCTGTTTTAAAAACATATAAGTTCATAATATCATATGATAAAAAGTTGGAAAAAACTATCCATTGTTGTCTTAAATAAACTTTTTGAAACTCCTTGCAATCGTGTCGTTCCCTCATTTTCTCTACTTGGAAGTTGGAGGGAAAGTCACGTGATTTTCCAATTTTCTAAATATTCTTTGATGTCAGGCCACGTGATATTGTCATTCGTAGATCAAGTCACGTGATTTTTCTCGTTTTCTAAACTTACTTTGATGTCAAGTCACCCGAATGTTCGCGAATAAGTTCAAAGGCCGCCAATTCTTCGTCATCAAAGTCCCCGCTGTTAAACTGCGCCAAAAGCTCGCTGGCCGACAGTGTATTGCCTGTAAATTAGAAAGGGGAAGCATAATATGTCAGGAAAGCTAAAATGAAGGATTAATCTTGCGTCCTATATGTGATCCGAAATTTGCTCCCTCGACAAGAGACCAGTTCGTAGTTAGCAGATGGTACAAAATTAATAACCCTTAATATCCATAGATCTTTTACACATCGAGCAGTCCCACTTTGTGCATTTAAGAATGATCATTCAATGCCAAAGTCATGAATACATTCGTTCACCTCTTGAGAAGTGAATGTTGAAGTGTTGCATCGTAAATTACAACAAAAAAAAATGAATTGAATTATGGTCATCCGATTGCACTTTTGAAAGAAACCACCTGGAATGATTGGTGAAAAGATGAATAAGACATTTGGGGGCGGGGGCACCGCAACGATGGGGGGGGGGACACAGCTCTTACAGGGAAAATAAAATGTGAATTCCCCGCCCCCCCCCCCCCCCCACTCAGTGTTATTTAGGGTACACGTATGCATGTTCCCTCGTTTTGAAAACACCCCATAAGTCCGGTGTGTAAAGTCAATACGGGCCGATTTTGTGTGTGTTAAAAGCCGGACTTTAATGCGTGAAAAGTACCCCTTTACCGGACATTATTTTTTGGAACATGCATGCGGTCCCCGTTCCCGGAGTGGTGGTGATCGGGGGGGGGGGGGTGAATTTATAGGGCTCCTGATTATAGGGAATGTGCGGTAGGTGGTCAAGTTGCAGGCGTCTTCTCTTCTCGTCATTTTCCCTTTCTCTCTTTCTTTTTTTCTCGTTTCCCCCTATTTTCTTCCTAATTTTCATCACTCGATGAGGGGGAAGGGGGGGGGGGGGGGAGCACAGGTGCCTCTACGTATCCACTGTAGCTATGCCACAGACCTACCAGAATCAGCATCCACACTGTCTTTATCGGGTTCGGCGATTCTAGAAACTAGATCCTGGGCGGCCACGCAGGAAATGACCAACAGGGAGCTAGAGAATGAATATGAAAAGGAGAACAACTTAAAAACAACAACATTGCAGATCAACCACAGGAGGGTCACTAGGGATGGGCTGTGTGTGTGTGTGTGTGTGTGTGGGGGGGGGGTGGTAACAAATATCCCTTTCAAAAATCTGGAAGCAAAATTGGAAACTATGTAGGCTGTCCCGAAATCTCAAAAACTGTCAACTTTTGTTGTTGTTGTTTGAGTCTTTGTTGTTATTTTTATTGTTGATTTTGTTGCATTTTTTTTATATGTTTAGAATTTTTTTCTTATCTTGATTGTTGGAAAATTGCAAGATTTCTTGGCGAATTCAAAAATCTGGGGAGCTTTGTCTTTTGTAATTTACGTTTTTCGTGTTTCTGTTTTGGCTATTTTTTGTTTTGTTTATGGCTTATAGAGACAGCTAACTCTTCAGGAAATTTGGTCCAGTACCCTCCTCCCCATCCCCTTCAAAAAGTGATTAGGACATACTAAGAAAATAAATGCGCATAATGATGTCTTTGGTCAAGCCTAAAGTACCTTTACCCAGGTACATTACACTGAGGGCATTCTTAGGGTTCCATGACACATGCTCCGCCGACGATTGCTCCGCCGACATTTACTCCGCAAAACGCGACAATTGCTCCGCGACATTTGCTCCGCGACATTTGCTCCGACGTCAAATGCTCCGCCGACAGGTGCTCCGCCGACAGTTGCTCCGCCGACAGTTGCTCCGCCGACAATTGCTCCGCCGACAGATGCTCCGCCGACAATTGCTCCTCCGACAATTGCTCCGCCGACAATTGCTCCGCCGTCAATTGCTCCGCAAAACGCGACAATTGCTCCGCCGACATTTGCTCCGCCGACATTTGCTCCGCCTAAAGCGACACTTGCTCCGCCGACATTTGCTCCGCCGACAATTGCTCCGCCGACAATTGCTCCGTCGACAATTGCTCCGCCGACAATTGCTCCGCCTGAAGCGACAATTGCTCCGGTGACATTTGCTCCGCCGACAATTGCTCCGACGACATTTGCTCCGCCGACAATTGCTCCGCCGACAATTGCTCCGTCGACAATTGCTCCGCCGACAATTGCTCCGCCTGAAGCGACAATTGCTCCGGTGACATTTGCTCCGCCGACAATTGCTCCGACGACATTTGCTCCGCATGAAGCGACACTTGCTCCGGTGACATTCGCTCCGACGACATTTGCTCCGCCCAAAAAGTGTCCCATTAAATACAAATGCTACTAGTACTACGACAAATGCTTCGCCGACAATATTTTTTTTTCACGGGTTGTTTTTGTTTGTTTCTTTTTTTCTTCATTTTTTGAATGCATTTCATGACATTATGTAAATGAAATGAAATGAATGAATGTTGATAATGTGGGAGGAAAAAGCAGTTGCCTAAAAGTCATTTCGAATATACTGAAATTACTTTCCATCTATCACTGTACGTCCCACATAATGTACACTAAACACTCATTACATGTCATGGGAAGTTTTTTTTTTTAAGTAGAGCAGCAAGCCACATTCCCCAATACGCGCATACCTCCTAGTTAATTTCAAACAGCTCATCAATATGTAAGACCTGAAATTACCTCAATGAAAGAAGACTAATAACATGAGAGGAAAGAAAAGAGCAAAAAATACAACCGTTTTTTGCTATTCCCCATAATGTTTGATTTAAAAAAATAAAAAATAAAATTATAGCTCCTTACGCAAGTTCTCCGGCGAAAGATAATTACTCCGCTCAAAATCTGTTTCATGTATTACTCATTAGCTGATCCAAAGCTCAAGGCTATCTCTCTCTCTCTCTCTCTCTCTTTCTCTCTCTCCCATGCTCCTCCTTTTCCTGTTTACACCGTTTTCTTGTCTTCTTTGCTCTTTTCTTTCCTCTCATGCTATTAGTCTTCTTTCATTTCCATCACTTCTTCTCTGCTCCCCCTCTCGAGTTCTATTTCTCTCGTGAAATTGAAACGTAAAGTAATACAATCATGTAGTACATTCTTGTTTAGAATAATATTTTCAATAATATCCAGTCCATTTTCTAAAGTTTTCTTTCCTTTAGTTAAGTGTATGTAGCTTTAATATATATATGTTAGTGTGCAAAACACTCCGTTTCATTCGAGTACTTTGTTTTCACTAAATAATTTAAGGGACTCACGAAGCCACCGGAAGAAGAGCAATTGGCTTATCATGAAGAACTAACATCAAACTGCAACAAAATGATTTGTATAAATGTGAATAAGCAGAAAGGCTGCCATCTCATTTTCCCGTCTGAATGGGTTCTCTTCCTTACGTATATAAGTGCCCTTATTTTCTAAACTTTTTTTTTATATTTGTGTGTTTATTAAATTTTCAATCATATAACAATTACATATTTACAAGTCATTGGTAATAATTAGACAAACAAAAAAACCAATATGTATAAGAACAACTAACAATAATGAAAGGACAAGAAAGTTATAAAAAAAAAACATTATAGTAAAACAAAATATACTGTACACATATAAATCATAGTTTGAACTCCAGTGCATAAAGGGGAGTGAGGGGGCACAGGAATAAAAGTTAAATCAACATGAGTATCATAAGTCAAATCGCCATTTCTTAAAATGCGAAACAAGCTTGTTCCTTTTTTTCGCTGAGAAATATTCAATATCTTTTTGTTTCTTTATAAAACTCTTAAAAAGATCAACACTTGGTAAATCCCCCTTACTTATTTTCTAAACTTCCATGATGACCTATTACATTGTATAATGCTTTACCTAGTAAGATGCATTGATCGAGGTAATTTCAGGTATTACATATTGATGAGCTACTTGAAATTAACTAGGAGGTATGCGCGTATTGGGGAATGTGGCTTGCTGCTCTACTTTTTTTTAAAAACTTCCCACGACATGTAATGAGTGTTTAGTATACATTATATGGGACGTACAGTCATAGATGGAAAGTTATTTCAGTATATTCGAAATGACTTTTAGGTAACTCCTTTTTCCTCCCACTTCATCAACATTCATTCATTTCATTTCATCTACATTATTTCAAGAAATGCATTCAGAAAATGAAGAAGAAAAAAAGAAACGAAAAAAATAGGTGTAAAGAAAATATTGTCGGCGAAGCATTTGTCGTAGTACTAGTAGCATTTGTAGTTTATGGGACACTTTTTGGGCGGAGCAAATGTCGTCGGAGCAAATGTCGGCGGAGCAATTGTCGCTTCAGGCGGAGCAATTGTCGGCGGAGAAATTGTCGGCGGAGCAAATGTCGGTAGAGCAAATGTCGGCGGAGCAAATGTCGGCGGAGCAATTGTCGCTTCATGCGGAGCAATTGTCGGCGGAGCAATTGTCGGCGGAGCAAATGTCGGCGGAGCAATTGTCGCTTCAGGCGGAGCAAATGTCGGCGGAGCAATTGTCGCTTCAGGCGGAGCAAATGTCGGCGGAGCAATTGTCGGCGGAGCAAATATCGGCGGAGCAAGTGTCGCTTCAGGCGGAGCAAATGTCGGCGGAGTAAATGTCGGCGGAGCAATTGTCGCGTTTTGCGGAGCAATTGACGGCGGAGCAATTGTCGGCGGAGCAATTGTCGGCGGAGCAATTGTCGGCGGAGCATCTGTCGGCGGAGCAATTGTCGGCAGAGCAACTGTCGGCGGAGCAACTGTCGGCGGAGCAACTGTCGGCGGAGCATTTGACGTCGGAGCAAATGTCGCGGAGCAAATGTCGCGGAGCAATTGTCGCGTTTTGCGGAGTAAATGTCGGCGGAGCAATCGTCGGCGGAGCATGTGTCGGGTTACCCATTCTTAGACTGTAGTCTATAGCTTGGATAACTCAGACCCTGTCTTGCGCGTCGGGACCACAAATGATGGGCACATTGGAGTGATGAAAGGGGGGGGGCACCCTTATGCTACCCTCTCTTTCAATCAATCAAGCCCGTTTCTGTATAGGCTTCTAGAAGAAAATTAAGGATAAACATGTGACATATACGTGTACTTATAATTATGTAAATCTGTAAATGATACTGTTTTAAATTGTACACTTGTTTTTAAAATGCAATGTATATCCATGTGTAATTCAGTATATGTAAGTGCGATGTATAATTCAATAAATACCATACCAAATACCATACCATACAAGAACAAATTCCACTGCATTTCACCCTTAGAAAAGTATTGTTTCTATGTTGCTCTAAAATAGTGATTAAAGTATAATTAAAGGCCTAGGTAGATGTCACTTTTATTTATGTCTTGTTTTCTCTACACAAAAATCACTTTTTTGCCCCAAATCTGTAATTTTGTTGTCCAAATCAATGATTTCACGGTATTGGACTTATTTAAATGATCTTCAGAGAGCTTTCAATGGAAACGACCTTTGTTAAAAAAATTGAAGCATGAATTCCAACGAGTTTGATTAATAGGCCTTTTACAAGAATGTGATTTCCACGACCATGACGAACTATATTACGACCTTAATTAAACTTCATGTTTTGATTTTCTCAGAATGATAGTTTTATCATTATTTATCTGTGTATTGCGACACGATAAACACGTCTCATTAATTCAATTTGTTTAAATTCATGGTTGACAAATTCAAAACGAGCAAGAATACGATATATACACCAGCAAAATGATAATGGATATAGAATTCCATAATTTTGTCTAGAATCCACAAATAAAAATGCAAAACAAAAGTTTTTTGAACCCGCGGTGTCATGTCACTGTAATAATGTTTAGTTGAATTGTATTTTGTTTAAAGCATCTCAAACGTTTATTGTACATACAACGGAAAATGATTTGTATGGGTTTACTTTCAATTCCTTTTTTCTTCTTTTCAATTTCAATTATTAATAGATAATGATTCTCAAAGGATGTAACTTATGTGGGGGCGAGGCAGCATGGTTCAAATAAATGAGAAAAGCATGAGAATTATTCTTTAAATCTAAATAGATTACCCGTCACCTCTTGTATCTTGTGAACGTGATAATGACATAATTGCGTAATCTAGACATTAATTTTTCAATCAAAACAATAGGGTTTTGACATTACCCGTAAGTTCATATCCGGAGTCTTTACAAGCATGTTTCTAAAGAATTATTCAACGCAATGATGCAATAATAAATAGGAGACTTGATGGCTCAGTGGTAGAGCAGTGGTCTGGTAAGCGCGAGGGGGGAGGGGGAGAAGAATTCCCAGGTTCGAAACCTAGTCGATGCACAAGTGCTCTTTGGTAATGTATTCATTTTCATTACCAAGCCCCTCGAAGTGGACATAAATCCCCCCCCCCCCCCCGGTCGCCCACTTTCAAGCACATACACGCTTTGGCGTTCGGGTAAGAACAAACCATTAAACGATTTAAAAACAAAAAAAATATTTAAAAGATAAAAGAGGAATAAGTACTTACCAAAAGAGCAGGGCACTTCGACCCATTTCGATTGATTTCCGAGTGATATTTCACCGCTTAAATCTGTAGGATTAGAAAAAATATCATATCATGAAAATAATAATAATAATTAATAATAAAAACGATGCTTATAAAGCGCTTACCGCCGAAAGTCTCCTTAAGCGCCATAACAAACAAAATACAATGATAAACAATTACATATTAAACAAAAAAAGTTACAAATAAATCAAATTACAATGCATAAGAAATATACATCAATGTGAGCAGCGTAAGTTAATCATCAAAAGCAATTTTGAATAAATGTGTCTTAAGACAAGTTTTGAATTGGTTGACAGTCTGACAGTTTTTGACATGTAAAGGTAGTTTGTTCCAAAGTTCAGCAGAAGCTTTGCAAAGAGAGCGATGACCATAAGAAAGAGTTGACACTGAATTAGACCGTATAGATTGCGTTAGGGTTTGTATTCCTGGATTAGATGTTGCAGATAAATTGGTGCCAATTCATGAAAGAAAGAGAATATGTTCTAAAAGCTCGCAATTATAGGCCAGTCCATGTCTTATGTAATTTGGTGTCCTTTATGTTACCAAGTACTTTATGTTATGAAGTTATGAACATAAATTCACATTAAATCTATAACATTTAAATCATACGTTATCGTGTACTCGTGGATACGTCACGGAACTGTAGATCACACGGTCGCGGTTTTAGGCTCGCCGCTGCACTTATGTCCTTTGGCATGATATTACATTTGCCAGGGCACTCTAACCGAGGCGCGGATCCAGGGGGGGGGCCGAGTGGGCCTTGCCCCCCCCCTTCCGCAAGAGAGAGAGAGAGAGAGAGAGAGAGAGAGAGAGAGAGAGAGAGAGAGAGAGAGCGAGATAAAAGGAAAAGGAAAAAAAAGGGGAAAATGAGATAAAAGTCAGAAAGAAGAGGAAGAAGAACAGAAAAGGGAAAAAAAGAAGGAGATCAGGGAGCCGAAAGGGCCTTGCCCCCCCCCCCCCTCCATCAAAAAATAAGAGAGAAGGAAGGAAAGGGAAAGAAAAAAAGGGGGGAAATGAGATAAAAGGCAGAAAAAAGAGAAAGAAGAAAAGAAAAGAAGGGCGATATCAGTTGCATTTTCCCCGCCAACAAGTTGTGGATCGGGGGGAGATAAAAGGTCCTTGCCCCCTCCCCCCCCCGACCCCGCCTAAAAAATAGAAAAGGAAGGGAAAGGGAAAGCGGATGGCTAAAAGGGAACAAAAAAAAAAGGAAGAAAAGAAGTGGGTGAAAAGAAAGGGAGAGCAGTTGCGATTAATCCCGCCAAACAATGCGTAGATCAGGGGAGGCCCTTGCCTCCCCCTCCCAGCAAGCCTTAAAGAAGGGTAGGAAAAGGGAAAGAGGAGTAAAATTAAAAGAACAACAAAGAGAAAGAAGAAAGGTAAGGGAGATCGGTTGCGATTTTCCCGCCAACAAGGTGTAGATCGGGGGGGGGGGCTCAAACGTGGTGTATTTCTAATTCGATACCGGTGATTTACAAATGGTGCTGAAATGACATTACTTTCCGAGATTTATGCTTATTAAGAGGCCTAATTGTCAGGGACCGCGGAACAGCGGGGCTTGAGGACCTCGAGCTACCCCCCCCCCCCTCCATTTTTTTGAAAAAGTATATTAAAGAGAAATAGAAAGAGAGAGATAGAAAGGGAGAATAATGACCTGCCAGTGTCACAAAATAATGAGGTATCAAAAATATGCTCATCTGACCGTGATTAATTGCCTAGAACTCTTGAGCTTCCGGGGGCTTTGCCCTCTCGACTCCACCAGGGGGCCTAAGGCGGGCCCCTGAATGCTTATCTGATCGTTATAATTTGCCTCAAATCACTGAGTTTCAGGGTGCTCAGCCCCCTAGACCCCACGTCAATTAGTGACCTACCAGTGTCATGAATAAGGTATCAAAATATGCTTATCCCACCGTAATTAAAAGCCCATACCAAACTAGGCCCGAAGGCAGGCCCCTGAATGCTTATCTGATCGTTATAATTTGCATCAAATAAGTTTCAGGGTGCTCAGCCCCCTAGACCCCACGCCAATTAGTGACCTACCAGTGTCATGAATAAGGTATCAAAATATGCTTATCTCACTGCAATTATGAGGCCATACCCACTGAGCTCCCGGCGGATCCGCCCATTGACCCCGCTGGGGCTTTGCCCCTAGACCCTACGCCAATTTACGCTACGCTCTACCTGATCCTAAATACCTAAGCCTCCCCCTTCCACTTTGAAACACGTTCAGCGGGGCCTGCACGTAAGAGTGGAGGTGAAGCGGATTTTTTTCTTCTGCCCCCCCCCCAAAAAAAAAACCGTTTTTGCTCATTACGCCACTGCTGCTCAACATTACGTACCAATATTTTGCTCGCATTATTTCAAAACAGGGGAGACGGGGGGGGGGGGATACGCTCCCCAAATTGACACCTGTACATCCATCTGGAAGCAACAGAATAGGAAAGGCGTTGACGTATGGATCGTGACATTGGGGTGTGTTTGTTTTTCAGCTGTTTTAAACAGAGTTATCAGGGTCATTATTGACGCCCGCTCTATCGATTCTCCCTCTCTCTCTCTGTCTCTCTCTGTCTCTCTCTCTGTCTCTCCCTCTACATCTAAGTGATTCGTTCCATCTGTATCACAAGTTGAGATTCTATTTCCCACATTTTCTCACGTCATAAGATATGAAAATGAATTTGAAAAAAAGAAAATAAAGATCGGATAGGAAAGGGGGACAAGAAATGGTTACTTTAAATAAAAGATTCCTTATGCCCCAATTTCCTACCACTGCATTAGAAAGATGAATATTGAAAAAGAATGATCAAATGGAAAAAAGAGCGCGGAAATTATTATTTTTTCTTTAATGGCACTCTTTCATAATTTAAACTTTCATCAGCAAGAAATTTCCAGATGTTGGGGACTAAAAGTTAGCTATTTGTTTTTATTAAGGTGGAAGTGTACGTCTTGAACATTAAAACAGAATATTAATTCGGATAAACATTTCGCTCATGATTTTCCTTTTTTTTTCTTCTTTCAACTGCCACATTACTATTAGTATGTATTCTCTTATACTGTGATTTGAACATCATACGAAGCAAAAATAATAAAGGTTCAGATTAGTATTTTGACAAAGGGGTGAAAGTAGTTGAAATGATTATCCATTTGCCTTAGCAAAAAACCTTAAGATATTAAGAAATGCTACAAGCGTTTTGTAAGTGAAGATCTCTTCATTTTTGGTAAGAATGAACTTTGAAACGATGTACGAATTACCCTAAACCTATAGGCATGTCTCTTGTCACATCTATTTAAAAATAAACTAACGCTAGATTTAAGTAGGTCTAATAGAGGAAGTTAGACAAATGTTTCTCTTTGTGACATCGAACTCGGACCAAGCATCCTTTGATATCATGTTATTAGATAAGTAATTTCAAAGAAAACCACAATCCTTTGCTGTTCACCCCCTTCACGATTTTTCCAATATACCTTTTCAAGAGTTATAAAGAAGGCCTTCATCTAACATGATCGCGAAAACTTTCGAAAAGACAATCTTAAATTAAGCAATTTCAGTAGCCTTTTAAAATGTGCGAACAGTAAAGTGAGATTATAGCATAATCTAAACATGAATTCTAAAGGCATTATGAATGGCATTGAAGTTGATTTCTTGAAAGTATTTGCGATCGTGTCATAGTAATATAGGCCTACATTGAAAATGTACAAAATTAAAACCAATAAATCGAATGCTTTCGAATGAAGGTAAATGAAAAAAGACAGACACGCCTGCACTCGCTTCTCTCAAAGTTATAGTTTATAATAATATGAATAGAAATTTGAGAGAGAGACTTGCGAATTAGAAAAGACTTGAATATGCTCCTTTTGTGTTTATCTATTTACTTCTTTAATGGGGTAGATGAGCTCTTTCAACATGAAGTGGTTTTCAAAGGGATCCGCGAGAAAAAAAAACAGAGATACAAATTTTTGTTTGCAAACAAGGAAACGAAGAGAAAACAGAAATACACAAATAAATATTCAAACAATACATAAATTGAATGTTCTTACCTGTGAAAGTAGAAATTGGTGGAGGTGTTTCTCTAATGTCCACGTTTCTCAAACTGAAACGTCAATTGATAAGTTCCGTAATGACAGCTGGCATTAAGACACCAGAACACACACTCTCCAAATGACGACAACGAAAATTGTAATCTTGATCATCCAAATCCGTTATTAAATATGTTATTCCATTACAATTGCACGCATGCGCAATTCAACACAATTCCTAGGTCTGATCTTACTCTACCAGACAAAAGAAATCGATCCCACATCAGATTACTATATGCATGCGTATTTAATAATCTCAACGAACTTTACATTTCTACGAATACCCCATTCCAAACTATTTATCGTTACATCTAGCTTAAAAATTGATCATGCCAATTATTC